AGGTAAATGTTACAACTTATTTGGTATTTGTATTTTCTTCGGCTGCGAAGTTATTCGAAATCCTGCTGGAGTAACGTTTGTGGGTTTGCTGGATCTCTGAAACGGGTAAGCGGATTGTAACCATCTTTTGTACATAACTTCTTAAGAATTAGTTTTAATTTGTTCGACAATAAAATAACAAAAATAATGGACCGTTTAAAAATTATTTAGGTAAGTATGAAAACACTTCAATACGTCCTAACACTATAAATAAGACCTCTAAAGACTTACTTCAAACGTTATTCTATTGCTTGTAACTACCTTCAAATGTATACGAATTTTCGTAAGAATACTATAAGTGACTAAAAAGTTATGATGAAATGTAGCTCTCCACGTTCACGATCACAATGTGTGCGGCCTTTTTTGGCCACCGATAAACCTGTGTGTGGTGTGTATAAACTGAATGTTATGCCAATAATTAGTTGTTTAGTTCAGTTGTCTACCTGTAACATTTCCGCGTAGTACATATAATAATTTACGAGATAATTAAATAAAAGTCATTTGAAGGTGCAAGACCGTGGTAACCCGACCATGTTTAGGTGGTTACAAAAAAGCGATCACCCAGTACATTGTGCTGGCTTTTAAAATATGTAGGATATTATTTGCAAGTTTACTACGGCACGGTACAATTATAATACAGTACTCTAACTTCATACAAACGGACGAAACGCGAGCTATACCTACGCGCCTCGATCTCGGGGTGCGCTCGGGGCGCAGACAGTCACGGCTGTACCGCAGTGTCGAACGGACGGTGTGTTGTTTTTTTTTACAATAACCGCGCGATTTTTTCTCTAAAAATCAGTTAATATGACGAGTAGGAAATTTGTGCTGTTTTTGGTTGTATGAATTCGTCAATAAGGCATCCAGACATAAGTTTTTTTAAATTACCTGGAAACTCTGAAAGGTACGACTATAAAATAATTTTACATACGAGTAGGTAGGTACATAATGTGTATCTTTTTAATGGAAAAGTATTTCCTTTTATCTTACGAAAAAAAAAGGTGTTTGGATTAATAAATAAAGCGAATAGAGTAACGGAAAGTTATTGAGACGAGTGAAATAGGTAGTTATATGCGGTTCTGAATGAATCATGATACGGTAGGTAACTACCTACTTACGCTTGTGTTAAAACTTCGGTGCACATGCACCGAAGTTTTAACACAAGTTTTTAAAATGTTTTGTTACTTTGCATAATTTAAAGTAAAGACGTGGTATTTTATTTTTAATAATATTTGTTTATTATCTGTGTGTATGAATAATACTAGAAATTTTTTTAGATAGTAGATAGTTTTCGAAATTTTCACAAAGTGTTTCTGCTGCTACTATAACAACATATACCACTAAAAACTGGTTTCATTTTCTCGGTATTAACAACAACAGCTAGACTCATATATAATATTTAGATGTTTGAGGGTTGTGATTCGGAAAACATTCGTAGTCAGCTGTTCAGCTTTTTAATAATTAATTAATTGGTGACCAAAGAATTTTTGTTTTGAGTTGTAGGTAGGTACCTAATTTATAGAGACGTTAATAAGCTGAGATAAAAAGTTACTTATTCGTCAGCTGTTTCTTGCATTCTAGTTGAGTAGGTAGGTGTTGGAGTTTCTAAGGATTGGAGTTTTGTAACGCGTAAGGAGAAAGCACAATTTTTTATTCTATAGAAGGATTTTTAAGCTATTGCGGCGCGGTGACCGAATCAAGAAATTCTCAAAACCTAACCAAAAATACCTGACACCACGCAGATTTTTTTCTTTAAAAAAAATATGTTATGCAATAGCTTTACTGCGGCAGTCTCCGAGAGTGTCACAAGTATTTTTTTTTTCAGACGTCTTCAATGGTTGCAACTGATCCGGCGAGATGATTTGGAAAACAAACCTAACTTTAGTTCCTACCAAGTTTGTGAAAAACATTTTAATTTGGAGGATGTATTACATTCATCAAATAGAAAACTTTTAAAAAAGAATGCCCTACCATTGTTGATGCTGCCAAGCTTAGCCAGTACTGATCCAGGAGTATCTCTAAAAGAAGATAAACAAACCCAAACTGCTCCGTTGGTAGGCAATGAAAATAGCACACAGACTGAAAATGCAACAAATGAAATCTTTGCTCAAACCTCAACAAGTCTCTCTAGCAACACTCCAAGAAAAAGAAAATTGAAACTTGAACTCCTCCAATGCAGAAAGAAAATAAAATAATTAAATCTACCAATCAAAAAACAACACGCATTTTTATTGAACACTTTCTATTCAATATACAAAGTATTTCATTTATTTATATAAAAAGGATATTTACAATCACAAATCTAAATAGGAACAGAAAGTAGGCAAATATAATTAAAATGCTGGAGACGGGCAGCCCTAACGCATGTTTACGTACCGCGCGGCTGTAGGCATTTATTTCTATCATGCGGCCGAGTTACACTACTGTATTATAATAGTACCGTGACTACGGATATGTACATAAGTGTTACAAAAAACTACATGTTTTTTAAATCATTTTTATTTAGAATTGTTTATTGCATAATTAGTAATCAGCCGGGAGATTAGGTATTGTTTTGAATGCTTTTGTTTTCTCGTAATGTTAAGGTGAATTGTTTATAGTTGTTCATAGAATTGGTACCTGCGTAGTATTTGTTAATTGAAGTTTAATTTTAGGGTAGGTATAGGTAATTTAAGTTTTGAAGAGTGTAACGTATGCGTTGTAAATAGGTATTTTGTGAATAGATATTTATTGACGAATTTATACAACCAAAAACAGCACAATATTTCCTACTCGTCATATTAACTGATTTTTAGAGAAAAAATCGCGCGGTTATTGTTAAAAAAAACAACACACCGTCCGTTCGACACTGCGGTACAGCCGTGATTGTCTGTGCCCCGAGCGCACCCCGAGATCGAGGCGCGTAGGTATAGCTCGCGTTTCGTCCGTTTGTATGAAGTTAGAGTACTGTATTATAATTGTACCGTGCTACAGCCGCGCGGTACGGAAACATGCGTTAGGGCTGCCCGTTTCCAGTATTTTAATTATATTTGCCTACTTTCTGTTTCTATTTAGATTTGTGATTGTAAATATCCTTTTTATATAAATAAATGAAATACTTTGTATATTAAATAGGAAGTGTTCAATAAAAATGCGAGTTGTTTTTTGATTGGTAGATTTAATTATTTTATTTTCTTTCTGCATTGGAGGAGTTTAAGTTTCAATTTTCTTTTTCTTGGAGTGTTGCTAAAGAGACTCGTTGAGGTTTGAGCAAAGATTTCATTTGTTGCATTTTCAGTCTGTGTACTATTTTCATTTCCTACCAACGGAGCAGTTTGGGTTTGTTTATCTTCTTTTAGAGAGACTCCTGGATCAGTACTAGCTAAGCTTGGCAGCATCAACAATGGAAGGGCATTCTTTTTTTAAAGTTTTCTATTTGATGAATGTAATACATCCTCCAAATTAAAATGTTTTTTCACAAACTTGGTAGGAACTAAAGTTAGGTTTGTTTTCCAAATCATCTCGCCGGATCAGTTGCAACCATTGAAGACGTCTGAAAAAAAAATACATGTGGCACTCTCGGAGACTGCCGCGGTAAAGCTATTGCATAACATTTTTTTTTTAAAAGAAAAAAATCTGCGTGGTGTCAGGTATTTTTCGTTAGGTTTTGAGAATTTCTTGATTCGGTCACCGCGCCGCGCCGCGCTCAGAGCCCGCGATAAAAGCTATGCAATAGCTTAAAAATCCTTCTATAGAATAAAAAAATGTGCTTTCTCCTTACGAGTTACAAAACTCCAATCCTTAGAAACTCCAACACCTACCTACTCAACTAGAATGCAAGAAACAGCTGACGAGTAAGTAACTTTTTATCTCAGCTTATTAACGTCTCTATAAATTAGGTACCTACATACAACTCGCAACAACTCAAAACAAAAATTCTTTGGTCAAAAAATTAATTAATTATTAAAAAGCTGAACAGCTGATTACGAATGTTTTAAAATCACAACCCTCAAACATCTAAATATTATATATGAGTCTAGCTGTTGTTGTTAATACCGAGAAAATAAAACCAGTTTTTAGTGGTATATGTTGTTATAGTAGCAGCAGAAACACTTTGTGAAAATTTCGAAAACTATCTAATGACACACAGACGGTAGAAAAAAAATTCTAGTATTATTCATACACACAGATAATAAACAAATATTATTAATAATAAAATACCACGTCTTTACTGTGAATTATGCAAACACACATGCACCGAAGTTTAAACACAAGCGTAAGTAGGTAGGTACCTACCGTATCATGATTCATTCAGAACCGCATATAACTACCTATTTCACTCGTCTCAATAACTTTCTTTAAAATAAGTAAGTAAAATTATTTTATAGTCTTACCTTTCAGTTTCCAGGTAATTTAAAAAAACTTATGTCTGGATGCGTTATTGACGAATTCATACATCCACAAACAGCACAATATTTCCTACTCGTCATATTAACTGATTTTTAGAGAAAAAATCGGGCGGTTATTGTTAAAAAAACAACACACCGTCCGTTCGACACTGCGGTACAGCCGTGACTGTCTGCGCCCCGAGCGCACCCCGAGATCGAGGCGCGTAGGTATAGCTCGCGTTTCGTCCGTTTGTATGAAGTTGGAGTACTGTATTATAACAGTACCGTGACGCCACTCAGATCGATTTTGACTTTCAACCGTTTAAACGGATTTATTTGGGGTTTGAAACGGCAACATTGTGTTTAAAACGTTTAAAATCGGTTGTTTTACATTAATAATCTTACCTCTCCCAGGTCACATGGCTATTCTGCAACCTGTGTGAGTCATTTCGTAAAGTGTGTAATAGGAAACCGAGAAAGTACGCGTTATTTGATGAGACTAGACTGGTTCCTAGACGTTATTGTTGTATGTCTAATCAAACTGTCAATGTCAAACGCAGATTATATACCAGCTGTTCTTAAATTCTTAAAAAAATGCCTGAAGATTCTAAGAAACAGTGAGAACAATTTTAATAATAATTAAAACATAAATTAAAATTTTAATTCCGATACTTGTAACTTAGAACTGCATTGTTATGTTTCCAGTGACAAAAGAAACTCTAAAGAACAGAGAAAGCCTCGTCAGCGGCATCAACAGACCAAGGCAGACAAAAAGACGGAAAAACCTGAAGAATCCATGAGCACCCCTAAAGGTACCACTTCATAAAACCCTGATTCAGATATGGTTAATGTAACTTAGATCTGTGGAACTGAGAATATTACTCCATATGGTTATGATATTTTGGTATTTACCTCATATAAGGAATACACGTCAAAGTTCCTAGTCTGTGGTCCAATGCATAGGGATTCTGGGTTTTCTGGAGCTTTGGTAAAGTTTGTGGGTAGATTCCCACCTAGAACTAATAAATGTGTAATCAACAACTAGCAATTCTTCTGTGTCAGGCTAAGTTTATCTATAATATGTACCTGGTTACCATAGTATGGGCTCAGCCTAGTTTGGTATCAGAGGGCTGTGTGTGAAATATGTCATCATTATATTAAATCAACTAGAAATGATTTCTTATGTTCAGTCAAGGCAATTAGATTTGCACCAGAAATTTCCTTCTACAGAATTTATTATTATTTAAATCAGTAAGATTTAGAAAGCTTATTGAACTGTTAAATTTCATAATACTACAACTAAGCATATTATTATGTTAATTTGACTATCCATAGCTACATCCCAGTCCATAAGTATTTATGGACTAGGATGGAACTATGGATAGACTAGGTTGCAAACACACACACACACACACACATTTCTTGCAACCTTGAATGGTATATTTTGTGATGTATAGCCCCAATGCAAAATAGTTCGTCTAGTATGGAAAGTAGTGCAAAGCGTAAAATATAGAAAGTAAATATTGGTATAATAATTAAGAATGTTTAATAAAAAGTAAACCACAATTTGAGGATCATTTTAAAGTTTATTTTAACACAACTGAAATTCTTTCATGACTTTACATCTCATAAAAAAATTAAAATATTCTAAAAAACATAACGCAAAAGTATTCATCTACCCTTGACACTCACGCAAAATAGTTCGTCTACCACTTAGTCGCCACTTAGTCGCCTTTGCTCTCAATGACAGCTTTAATGCGAAGAGACATGGTTGCAACCAACGCTGCACACTCCTCAAGCGTAATTGACTCCCAGACCAAGCCAAGAGTCTAGCCTTTAAGTCGCTCTTCAATCTTGATGGATTTTTATGGAGAACTTTTTTCTTTTTCCACCATAGAGTTTCGATTACTAGAGTTTCAGATTATTTTTGATAATTTTATTTAGGATTCTGTTTTCTACTGCACTTGTGATGCGTGGTCGACCAGTTTTCTTCAAACAAGAAGTAATTCTATTCTTTTTATAGTGCTGAATTATAGATTGAACTGTAGACCTGGGAAGTATCAAGTCTTTAGATATTTTGTAACTCGATTTGCCAGCATCGACCCCACAAACTATTCGCTTTCGAAGCTCTTCACACATGGGTTTGCCACAACCCATTGTTATTTGAAAACTAATGAAAAAGACTGAAATTTTCAGAATTTATACTGTCTCACTTGACAAATGACACAGAATTACTTTTACAAATTTAAATTATGCAACATAATTGTACAAAGAAGAAATAATCTTATAATATCACCGATAGATGAACTCTTTTGCATCAATTAACAATTAGACGAACTATTTTGCTTATAACTTCTTCGAATTTAAAACAGGATATGTATAAATTTAAAAAGCTAAAATAGTTTATTGGTTCATAATTAAAAAATGGCATAAGTAACGCGACATATGATAGTAGAACAGCTTAATATTTTATGTAGATATACAAAAATAATGAAATTAGAAAAAATCTCACAGAGAAAATTTCACACTAGACGAACTATTTTGCATCAGGGTTCGTATGTATGAGAATTTTTTACAATAAAATTAAAAATTTAACATTCCACAGTTCCTCAAAAACCACCAGTTAACGAAAGTCCACCGCCAGAGTTCTACAAGAATTTAAAAAGGGAAACAGATGAAATTCTCAAAATAACTGAAGAAGAAAATGCTAAATATAAGAAGAAAGAAATACAAAGCAACTGGTCCAAATATGAATTGCCTATTGAAAGCTATGACAATATTGATGAACAGGAAAATTTAGGAGCCGATTATGAGGTAAATTTTGATTTCAAAAAGTTGCTGTCTGAAATAAAAAAGACATACCTTATGAATGCTACAACATTGGATAGGATCAATTAAATTATTTTTTATTAGACATGTACATCAAACTCACAATAATCAATAAAATGTACAATACCTTTAGCTATCTTGTCATGACCACTCATGATCACAATATTGGATATCCAAAAAAGATTTTGTATCTATAGGGATATGCCTGCAATCTATATTGAGAATATCACCATCAACAACAGCTTTTAATAGTCCACTGCTGGACATAGGCCTCTCCTTAGAAAGGAGGCTTTGGCCTGCCATACCACCCTGGCCTGACGGGTTGGTATAGGGTTTGTGTCAAGTTTTCCTTCTTTTTGAGGTGCTGATGTGTCCTGCGTTATTTTGCGTTCTTAATCGGCTCTTACGACACCCACGGGATGAATTGGGGTAGTGACATTCCGTATTCTTAATCCGTCACTACACGGACTTGGGAATATAAAAGGATTGCCCACTTATCACTTAGTAACTTCCCCACCAGGGTCGGAACTAGACCTTGTTCCTGAGTATACCTAAGACTTCTCTTCAAGAAAAGAAACGCAAATGGGGCAATCAAATAAATATTCATCAAAGTCATCCGTAAAGAACGGTTAGATTGCGATATAAATATTGCATCATGTTATCAGAATTATAAGTTTTATAATTGTATTAACGAAATCTATAATTATGTTTATTTTGGAGACAAAGGGAGTTATAATACATAAGACAAGGCGTGTAATTCGTGGCGTATGGCCTGTATATAGTTATAATGTCATTAATTACACGTCATAATTTATTACCGCAAGCAACTCACTATTTACACACCCAGAATATGCAATCGCATGTCGCAAACATTTAGCATAACTTTCAATTTAAGGTATATTGTTAACTCAATATGGTTTACAAGAAATAATATTATCTGCTAGTGAAAAACACAAAATATTTTAATTTTAATTACAGAAACTTATAGAAGCATCTATATCGGCTGGGGGGCATTTTCAGTTCAAACATGAAAAGTCTTGGGATATGAACACAGGCCCATCACAATACGACAAGTATTTCGAAATCAATATGGAAGATCTCAATATTGCTCTCTGTACTGAACCATTTTACGTAAGGAATTGTATTAAAGAAACTTTGTTTAGTGAAAGTGATATATTAACTATGAAAAATAGATCCATGAGGTTCAAACAAAAATATTTCAGTGATAAATCATATGCAACGCCTGACAGTATAGTTCTAGATAAAACACTTAATATCCTTCGGGATAGTTTAAAGAATACTGACAATACAAGTAAAGATTTAGTTGACATGGAAATAAAGAGTGAAAAGGCAAAAGAAGAGCCTTCGTTTGAAGATAAACCTGCTTTAACAACTGAGATTAATTTGAATATAAAAAGTGATCCCGATACTTCTTCTGATAGCAATCAAATTATAGACCAAAATATTATTAATATACAAAATGTGCCATATGAAGACAAACCATTTGAAAAAACTGAAGAAACCCCTATATCTGATAATATTGTTGCACATAACGACTTTATATTTAGAAACACCGAAAAAACTACTAAACCTTTAGTTGAAAAACCTGAACCAACAAATATAGAAATATCTAATATTGAACTAGTTTCTCAAACAGAGGTTAAAGAGACTTCTCCATTTGATACTGTGAAGAGAGCCATAGCTGAAACGAAGGTGAAAGAAGCAACTGAAACCAAGGTTCCAGCTGCAGTCGACACTAAAGTAGTTGCAAACTCTCTAGGTAAGTATACGTTTAAGTCAACTAATTTGTTAAAAAATAATTCAAGAGATCTTACATTAGATTAGAACTATCTTACATTAGGACCTGGCGTTAACCTTAGCTATGTTTGTTGCACTTGGGTTTCTCGAGGCGCGGGTCTGTGCTCTCTCTGGTGCCGCTCTAGTGCTTTCTTACGCCATTAGTACAACGACGCAAGGCGCTTGACCGCCAGGTACCACAAGATAGTCTTAGCGATTGAAGAAACTAAAGTCAAATTCTCGTAATAAAAGTTTGGTCGTAATTCAGTTTCGAGCAACTCTTCATTACACAACTGTCATAAAAGGTCTTTATGTAGTAAAATAGTAAAGTATAACTAAGATTAGCGATTTCATTTTCGGTTACAATACGATAAAATCACATTACAGTCAACGTTGGATGTTTAATACTTTACTACGAAAATATCTTTTGTGACAGTGTCTTTCGTTGCTTTTTACGATGCAATTTACGGAGCCCAAAGCGCGCCAAATTTTTTGTCTCTAGGGGCAATTGCGACTCTTGCGTTGAAGGTCTCCATGGGCGGGGTCAGGTGACCCGTCTCGTCATTAGCCTTCACATACTGGACATTCTGACAATTCAAACTGTAATCTCGAGGGAGACTATCCGAAATAAAGGTAGTCGCTGTTTGTGACGAACCCTCCTTTCTAAGGAGAGGCTTATGTTTAGCAGTGGACTGTTAAAGGCTGTTGATGTGATGTGATGCTGTTTGTGACGTGTAGAATTTTCGCGGCAGCCGTGGACGCTATGATAAACATAAATTACAGAGCAATTTTAATATTCTGTATTTAAAAAACCGGATAAGTCTTACCTTACCTTTAAACATACGTAATCGAGTCCAGCTTTGAAGAGAGGCCTACATTACCAAAAATGTTTTGAAAGTCAAACTTACTTCTGCCCACTACCCCGAACATCGATGGTTTGACACCCTCCATCCTTTGATGTTTTACATTGACTGTGATGTTTATGTAATTATACAACCGAAAATAGGGATTCTGGGTGTTAAGCTTTGGTTAAGTTTGTGAGTAGAACCAGAACCCCAGAACTATTAAATGGGTCATCTCTTGATCTTATATTTATGCAGCTTCGGGGGACCGCGAGACTACTCGTATCTACAAAGAGCTATATTGTATGTAAATTTCAGCTTTTCACAACTTTTCAAAAAGATTTCACAAGACAGATAGACGAACAATCAGCGATTCTTTTTTTTGAGGAAAGAAACTCGAAATAAGTTTAGGACAAAATATTGACTGATTGTTTAAATATGAGTTTTGCTAATCGGATTTACAGTTGGAAGAAAATAAAAATACAATATATGTGACAATACATTTATTTATTTCAGTTGCTGCATCCCCAATGGAAATAAAGAAAAATCCAGTGTTTGAATCTCCAGAGGATCTTGAGAAGTGGCTAGATGACTATTTAGATGGTTAATAAATATGCTTAAATATTGTCAATCTACTAACTCTTATGTGTTTAAGAGTAAAAAACCTTATAAATTCAACAGCCGTTAATTGTAAAATTAATCATGAATAAATGTTTAATGTACATGTTGGTCAAGGTTTATCTTGATTCGAAGACGCACGCAGTGGCACGTCGCTTGGTTGGGTATCAGGTTAAGGCATAGGACTTGCGATCAAAATGTTGCGAAAGTCAACTCAGTACCTTTTCGACGATCATAATGATGAGTTGCAGACGTTAATGGCCGGCGATTGTCACTTTCCATCAGGTGACCCGTCTGCTCGTCTGTCCCCTCTAACATAAAAAAAACAATGCAAACATTTAAAAACTAAATCTTTATTTTACAAGAAAAACCAAAGCTGCTAACTTTGGTTTTTCTGTACTAGTACTTTTCTTGTAGTTTTTCGAAACATTTTAAATTAAAAAATCTTTATTGTTCTTACACAATGATTAAATTACATTGAACAATTCTCTAAAATGTATAAAACTTAACAAAACAGGAATAGTAAGCCCATTAATCATTCTGTTTCTACAATGCATATTTCAAATGTGCCAGAATATAAACCCATACAATTGTCACAGACTTATGGCTAATATTTACAGTTTGTATACAAAACATTTATATGTATTCATACAGTATACTCGTACATAAATTATATTATATTTCTCACAAAGATGTAATTACAGTCCAAGTAAAATTTCAATTTCAATTATCAATTCATTTACTGAACTTAACTATATAGAAGAGATGATAATTATTTCTCTCTTCTCTTTTTATCCATCGTCTACGTAAAAATAAAATAAACATGTAAAGAATTAACGAATTCGCACATTACACAATAATTACTATACCTAATTTGAAAAAAATACATGAATATGTCATCTTAGGACTTCTTCAACCTTGGAGACACCATCCTGTAACTGCTACCTCGCAACTTGTTTTTGCTGCAGTTCTGCATTCTCGTTCCGATGTTAGAAGCCATAGAAGCGGTTGTCGATTATCCATTTCTTCAGGTCACAACACAACATAAGAATTATTCAAACTTCATATATAACATTTCGCCTGTTCATGGCTTCATTTGTAGTACACGAAATCAGAACCTTAAAAACTGCCTTTTATATTTTAAACATTCATACAATTTTAACACCAAAACCAAAGAACGTACCTATACATAAAATGGAGCAATTGCGTACAACCAAATTGTAAAAATAAAAAGACAGATGCAATATTAAAACAAAATCTCCATTTTATTCACAAAACAAAAATCTACTTGACTAAAATAAGTGAAGTCACTTTTTACACAAAAAATACCAAAAGCAAGTTCAAAACATTTAATAACGATAATTATTATAAGAGTGGTGATATTGGCCCCCTCTGTTGTCATAATCATAACTCGATGGCGGTCTTCTAGGGTACTGGATTGGTGGAGGAGGCTCCTGTGGCTGCTTCAGGGTCTTCGCTCGTGCGGCCAATTGGGATACCAACTGTGCTGGAGTCAGATGTGCAATGGAGATAGCAGCTCCTTCTCCAACGCTACCACTTGGATTAAAAATAGACTTTGAACTAACTAAATCTTGTTCCACAACTTGTGTATGAACAGTAGAGGAAAAATATTCAGGCTCAGTAGAAGTGCCAACATCACGATATTTTGTAGATTCTCGTATCTCGCAAATATCACATTGAGGTTTTGTTGTTTGTACTACTGCATCCTTCATATCCTTGGGAAGCTTCTTTTTATATTTTGAGACGACTTTATCCAGTCCAAGAGTGGAGACAATGCTCTCGACGAGTTGTTTGGTTTGCTGAGTTGGAGATATCGATCCCTTCGTGAAGTTGAATTCCGCGGCTAATTGTCGCTTGAGCGGTGAACAATACTTGGGCGCTAAATGCTTGTCATCTGGTCCAATCATCCTGTTGTGTATCATTAAACGGTTGGGTAGCAGTAATTTTTCTCTTAACTTAGACAAAGCTTGACTGCACCGAGATAAGACTGTGAAAACAAAATTAGCACTAATTTCATTTAACTACAGTAGTGAAGACGTTTATTTTATCTAAAGATTAGCAACTCAATACATTTTTATAATGTTATATCCTTTCTAAGTATGTATGTAATATAAAAACTTAATTTTATATTTTCAAAGAGAATATCTGGCCAAAGCATATCAGCATAAAACATACTAGATATAAGTAGAGGTAAGAAATACCTACCCATGACCCTAGTCTTAGTATCCACAGTACTGACGACACCTGTAATTTTATAATACAAACATTTCATTTGTTAATTGTGGTGAATGAAAACTTACAAAATTTTATGAACTCAAAGATAATAAGCATACCTTTATGAGGAGTGAGCTTAAGATAGTCCTCTTTAGAAATTTTCCCCTCAGCAACTAACTGAAAAACATGTAGTGTTTGTATTGTCAATCAATTTACAATAAAAATACATATTTTGTAAATAAATATATTTACTTGTGCCAAAGCATCATAAGGTGTAGTTTTGTCTGTTGTCGATGCAATTGGAGCTGGGACCATGGCAGGTGCAGCCGGTACTGGTGTTACATTTGGCACCAACATGGGCTGAGCTGCGACTTGATTAACATTTGGCATGATTCCAGGCCCAGGTACATTAACCTGAGGACCTTGAGGTATTCCATAGTTATAGGGATCAGGAAAGCCATCACCATAAGCCGGAGTCTGTGGATAGAACCCTGAATTTACTGGTGTACCTCCACTAAATTCAGGATGCATTTGAGTAGCATACTGCTGGCTGGCTGGCTCTGACTGATATATTTGATTTCCTACAGAGTATCCAGATAAATGTTCACCTTCATTTGGATACAGAAATCTATCATCATGACGGTTGGCTTGGTGCCGGGAGCGGGAGCGCGAGCGTGAGCGTGATCTTCGTGGAGGAGCTCGCCTCTGAGGTGATCTTGAGCGATGTAAGTGTCGTCTTGGGCTATGACGTTCAGGGCTTCGTCTATACACACTACGTCCAACTGGACTCCTCCTATGTGGACTACCATGTCTTACATAATGCAAGAGCGAAGAGGGGGTAAAGTTACGAGATGATAGCCGTGTGGGACTGTATTGCATTCGGGGACTGACACGGTGTGCATGCGGACTTAACCTAGTGCGTGGACTAAATCTTGCCCTTGGGCTGTATCTACCATGAGGATTGAAACGTCCTCGAGGACTGGTCCGCCCCTTAGGACTGAACCGTCCTCGAGAACTTCGCCTGAGGTGAGGACTATGTCGCCGTCGCGGGTCTGGTAGCGGACTGCGCCGTGGACTACGTCGTAATCGTTGAGGATATGGTGAAGGGTCTTTAGAATGCTTTCTTCGTTCTTTCTCAACACTAATATTGGTACCATCCTTTTTATATTCTTCATAGTATTCATCTAGTTCAGTGCCGGGTGGACGAAGGTCATCGGCTGACTCCAAAGTCTTAGCTAGGAACTGTTGCACTTTAACTTCTTTATCTTTTTTGATAGCTTGATTTGTTTTACTTAGATCTCGCCTGCTCCCTGGCTTGATGAAATTTTCGAGGTTCGTATGCTCTGTTGAGAGCCTTTGTCGTCCTTTTGACCTTTTAGTCTTCCGCTTGCTATCGTCATCGTCGGGGTTGTCACCAATTAGCTCTCGAAGGTCCTTGACGCCATTGACTGCTGTCTCATTGATTCGCTCCCGCAATTCACTCATCTGCTCGATTTCACTGTTAGGTTCATTTACTTCCCCTGAACACTCGTCTAGAACACTTAAACCTTCCATAAAGTCATCCTTGGAGAAATCATCAAAGAAATCACTCGATAAATCTTCTGCTTCACCCACCTCCGACACTTCATCTTTAACAGATGCCATGAAAATTTATTGTAAATTAAATTGGTAATTCGTAAAAACAAATCAATATTTATAAATAACAGTAGATAACCTAACTGAACTTTTTGTACATAAAAGATAAAATATGCAGAAACTCTAATTTCACGAACTTTAAAACTTGAATTATCTTAAAAACAATGATATTTATGTTATTAACAATGTATTAATAAAAGGTGAAGTTAGCCATTAGGACATTTTGCCTTACGATATTTTCCATCGAATATAGTTTAACACCATCAACATCAAATAATTAATAGAATATGGATAGATACATTAAAATATACAGGGAAAAACTTTAGCGCAATTTAGAACGAAATTGAGCACCATGACATCAATCAATAGTCAAAATATTTGTCACCGAACCGACCGATATACCTAATTTTCGATTCGAATGATCCGATTACTCCCTATTCTATACTCTATGATACCGCGACAGATGATAAAGCACACAAAATTAATGTGTTGCTCACCAATAAAAAAACAAGAGTAAACAGTAGGTAAAGTAAAAAAAGGCCGAACAGTCAGTCGAACATGTTAATTGTCTTCCAATTTTCAAAAGTATAGTATAGTAAGGTGTCTTCACTGTTTTCTCAAAACTATAAAGTTTTCTAAAAGCATGAACATAAAACGAAAAAGAAGAAAGTTTCCAAGCAATTACATATAAATGTCTTAAGAAACCATTTCGTAAAAACCGCATTGAAATATAAGCTTAGAAACTGAGTTTTATTGAACAAAGAAATTGCCAAACAATCGAAAATTTCTACAGTTTATTAACTCTTTTAATTGGGTAGTTTTCTAGTAAATGTTGTTTATTGTTCAAGCAATGCTGGTATTGACGTGAAACCGAAGACAGTGGTTTATTCCTGTTTGTCATAGCAGACGTAGGTATTCTTATAATTAAATTTTACTGTTTTTTTGTCCTGAATAAGAATAGCAAAGTATTTTTCTAATGCATAACGGGACGGGCCTGTTGGTCTAGGGGTTAGACCCTGACTGCTAAGCTGGAGGTCGTGGGTCGATTCCACGATCAGTTGTTCTGTTTCCGAGTGTAATTTACCTAAATATGTATGTATTTAAAACTATCTAAGTATGTTTATCAGCAGTCTGGTTACCAAAGTACAGGCTCTACCTAGTTTGGAATCAGACGGGCCGTGTGTGAGATGTGTAAAAACAAAACAAATTTAAACAAAACACAATTTACATCCTCAATCACCTCATCTTCAGTATTTACAGACAAATTTATCTTTTTAAAGTCATACATATTTTTGTTAAATTTACTCTTGCCTTTCTGTGGTTTCAAATGAATAGCAAACGTTTATTTCGGATTAAGTGTATAGTGCTCCTTAAGTCAGAATTTGATGCTATTATAAACACCACACCCCTGATAATACGCGGTGTGCCCATGGTTAGCTTGCTACATATATATAGTAATCTGTGCCCATGGTGTGCCGGTATGCAAACTAAGTATTACTCTATGCCTGCATGCAGTCTATGCCACAGATTAAAATTTACATGGTGTAAACAAGTTCTAGCGCGAAGGCATTTTGTTTTGTTTAATGTTTGGAACAGTGTTTATTTTAATAATTTGATATGAAGTACTAAAAAAATGGAGTGTACACAAAGATTGGAGTGCACCCAAGAATTATACGACACACATACTGAGAGAGTATGTCCAGAACAGGTTAGCTATTTTATTTTAGCACCTATGACCGATTCATAATTCTACTTTAACATAATAAAGTGCATAAAATGAGCAGTTAATATCAACCTTTTCCTTTGTGATTTGATGTATTTTCGCCTTTATGATCCCCTTTCTACCTAGTATTTTTATCAAACCTATCAATAACCATAATCAAAACAAAAAATTCTTAGTCTTCCAATCTTTTAAATAGCCTGATAAGAGTATCAATAATATTTTATAGTAAAAAGGAAATGATGTATTCTAAATCTTGTAAATCTTTACTAATTACTAACTGCTAAGAAATAACATATTTCAATGTTGAGGCAGGTGAAAACAAGGCTCTCAAAAGAACTTAACAGACTGTGCTGATTGATATACTACAGTTTATTGAAGTAATATTCACACCAAATATAAAATTAAAGTCACTAAGTATACCGAGACATACATAAAGCAAATTGTAATGTATTACAATTAGTGCCATGGAAGTAGCATTTTTTATAAATATTCTGATAATCTAAAATAATACAATTCTTAAGTTTCATTAGAACCTTATTTAAATTAATGTAATAAGTGTCCCAAAAATCAATATGTAGCTGGTAACACGTAATAAAAGCAAAGGTACCTAACTGTAATACATACTTTGTTTTTCATTTTTTCAGATTGGCTTTTTAGGAATATGTGGAGCGAAACACCCGGTGCTCATGGGACCAAACAAAATTGGAAGAGACCCACATACATGCAGTATTGTCTTAAACTTAAATGTAAGTCTGTGATTGCATCACAATGTTGATTGGACATATATTATAATATAAATACATATACATGACAAATATTTATACAGTGGGTTTCATTAATAATGACTTTGGTTGTTACTTTTCGGTTATAGTGACGTAAGTCCCTTGAATTTAAAGCATACTTTTGCAGCAATTCATTTGGCAATAGCAACTTATTGTTATAAACCATTTGTGACAGATTCTTAGAAATTCCATGCCTATATTGCGACAGTCAGCAAAGGCAGAAAGACTCATTAAAAAATACTACTACTAACTAAAAACTATTAATAAGCTTACCTATTCTTTGTTTACATTTACAGATGGCCAGATATGCTTGCTTTGTTTGTAGGTAGAACTAGTTAGGTTGTGTACAAATTTGAACTTTGAAACAGTTACATAGGAGTTTCCAGTGTTCTGAAAACTTGTGAATATTACATGGCATACATTTACTCTTAAAGAAAAGATTTGGACAAGGCATAATATAGTGGTTGATAGAGTGTGTGGTGAAGCCGCCAGTGTTTCACAAAATGACTGTGACCATTGGTTGAGAACCGTTTTACCAAAATTAACTGGGTATACAGTATGCTGACAGTCAAATATGTATATGACTTTTTGCTATTTTGGATAAAGAGACTTACAGATATAAAGATGACGTTAATGTTGTCGCTATATCCGGAAGTCGAAGTGGTCCTTCCAACCTCAATATTACCAAAATCCACTGTATATTAAAGTCTTGCTGTCTTGTTAACAATGTTAAAAGTATTTCCTTTCAAACATAATAGATTCCATGATGTTAGAGAATTACAGAATTGGGTACAATCAAGTAATAGCTACTATGACGGGCCTGTTGGTCTAGTGGTTATTGACCCTGACTGCGAAGCCTGAGGTTTTGGTTATGGTGTGTGAGTGTGGGTTTAACTACCACCCAAGATGAATAGTTGTGTTATGAGCACAATCATTTGTTTTATGTCTGGAACAGGTCGTATTTACTTACCTTCATTATTAATATATCATCTATTTAAATGCTTAATTGTTATGTGTGTTATTTAAACCCAGTTTTTTTTTTTTAGTCTGTATCCAGGCAACATGCTGTGATAAATGTGTTAAATAGCAAAGAGTATATGCTAATGGATTTAGATTCAGCCAACAAGACAAAGTTGTTGAATGTAAGTATCATAATTATGAATGATGATTAATAAAATATGTTATCAGTAATCTGTAGTCAGAATGAAGAGAACAAGGACTGGTGCACCTATAAATTTGCAAGGGGTGGCAAAAAATTATGGGTGATAATGATTCAGTATGTGCATCGTAATATAGCAACTTAAAATCGTGGCTTTGAATGCGCACTTTAACAAGGCCTACTCAAAAAAAAAAATGAGTAAAAAAACAGGTTTTTAACAGACTTCCAAAAACATTTTTATCAATTCGCATTTTTTTTCATGTTTGTTACAAAGCCCGATGCACAATAAGTAATACTGGTCTATGTCAGCTTTACATTAGCACAATAAAAAATTAAGAATTCAATATAATTCTAATGAAACAGCAGATTTTGTTAATTTATAAAGACCAACTTGGATCAAACAAACGTATCGTGCGTAAACTTATCAACTACTTAATAAAGCATACAAAATAATAATATCATTGGAGATGTGCGTAACCCACTTTAGCTCGTTCTGCATGTTTTGGCAGCATGGAGATTGTTGCATCTGCCGCTGCTATAATCACTAAGCTATGCAGGTTCTTAAAGCAACCCACCAGAAAAAACTCCTGCAAGCACCCATATCCCTCTAATGGATAAATTAAATGATTATCTGAGATATAAGACTGAAAGTAGAATTATAAAATATAAACAACTAGCTTTTGTCCACGGGTCCACCCGCGTGTATTTCAGTTATCGCGGTCCTTCCTCAAGAAACAAACTATCTAAAGATCAAATATTTAAATCGGTTTAGCAGTTATTAATTTCCCATACAAAGTTATACCCTCCTTCTCACCCCCTCAAAGGATGATTTTTTTGAAAAAAACTATCCTATGTACTTTCCTGGCACTCGACTATTTCTATACCAAATTTCATCCATATCGGTACAGCGGTTCAAGTGTGAAGAGGTAATAGACACACTTTCGCATTTATAATATTAGTATAGATGACTTAAATGTCTTTTTCATGTTTTTTACAGAAAACTTTACAACCATACATACCTCACCCCATGAAAGATGGAGATACAGTACAATTTGGTGACATATTTGGTATATTTAGACTGTTAGAAGAAAATGACGAATTACCCATGACACAAGCTATAGATATTCCTGAGACACCGGCGCCAAACCGATATGTGTCGAAACTAAATAAAGTACCCACAACAGTTATTCCCGAGTCTCCTGATGTCAGTGACAGGGTATGTATTTGTCTCTAAATTTTTTTTTAAACACAACTTCAAACTAGAAATACATCCTCTGTCGCGGGGGTTTTTACAAACATACATGAAACGGACACAAAGAACACCCAGACTCAGAACAACAATTTGTGGATCATTTGTCAATTGTCCCAGGATGGGATCGAACCCACAACACTTAGCGTAGTAGGAAGCGGCGAGGTGACCGCTTAAACCACTATTTATTTATTTATATTCCTTTGTTTTTCTTATCTATTTACCCTGTTTTATGGAAGGATCATTAGAAGGATTATTATGTAGGGATCAGTTTACACATTAAAAAATCTCAACCCAATATGACTATGCTAAAATTGTTTAAAAAAATAAATGGGTTTTGTATCTCCGGTAGATATGAATTGTTTGAGTTAAAAATCACCTGTATATTCACAGATATTTCTTGTGTATAGACTATATCAAATTCTTTTTATTTGCTTCACAGGACGATTCCTTCATCAGTACTCATTCCGAGAGAACGAGGCTCTCCAGTGGGCAATTTATAAAATCCTTTGGGAAAACATTGTCAATTCATCCCATCAGCTCACCTAAGACAGATACTAATCTTATTTCATCCAAACGATCGAATTCTAACCACATGACTAGCTTCAACGAATCACTTAAATTTGTAAAAGATGACCAAATTATTGATAATATACATGAAATGAATACACAAATACCTTATCCAGTCTTAAATCCTACTGTCAATGAAATTACTGAGTCAATATATACAGCAGATACTCAAATTCCCCAAGGACAATGTATTTCGCCATCTATACACAATTTAAATACTCAACTACCCACTACAGAACATTTACCTCAAGTTCGAAAAATTAATGGACAACAAGAAATGCAATTTGATATCTGTGCAGCTAATAAAGAAAACGATATAAGTATATATAACGCTGAAACACAACCATTTGTTAGTGATGAAATAATCGAAAATAAAAGTAATTTAACAGAAAATAAGGTATCAGATGTAACTCCTAAGCCTGTAAATGATTTAAATAAGTCGGAAGAAGAGTTGCTATTCGACGAAATTGACGATGGATGCTTAGAGGATTTCAATTCCCAGCCTTTACTACCACAAGAGTCACCAAAATCTGAATTAATTTTTTTTAAAGCAACGAATGTCGATAAAAATGAATCTGACAATTCAACAGATTGTGAAGATATTGTCCCAACGCAAAAATTTGATGAAATAGGTAAAATATGTAATCAAGTAAAGGATGAAGAAAAAGTTAAATCTACAGCCTCTAAAAGAAGACACAGAATTAAATCGAATGATTCAACAGATTGTGAAGATATCGATATCATTCCAAGGCAAAAAGTCGAAGAATTGGTTAAAAAAAATAATTCTGAAAAGAATGAACAAGAAACGAATACACTGTCTACAGCTTCAAATAGAATCAAGTCCAATGTTACAAAAGTTTGTGAAGATATTGATTTAGTACCTACTCAAATAGTTGAAGAAATAAATGCCAATGAAATACTACCTTCGGCGTCAAAAAGAATTAATAGAATTAAATCCGATAGTTCAACAGATTGTGAGGATATCGAAATTATGGCAACACAAAAAATTCAGACACTACCAAATGCTAATAAAAAATCTTCAAATACCGCTAAAAGAGTTAATAGGATACAGTCCGATAGTTCGACAGACTGCGAAGACGTCGCTTTGATGCCTACGCAAAAGGTACTAGAAAAAGAAAGCACCGATGACAAAGATATAACTCATTGTAAAGATGATTTGAATAAAATGGATTTAAAAGGACCCAAGGACTTTCCCGATACAAAATTCGAGGATATGCCTACCCAAGTAATAGATCTAGACCCGGATAAATTAGAACCAGCTTTTGAAGAAATGGAAACACAAATCATAGGAGTCGACGAAACTGCCTACAAAAAGTCTACTATTAATGATAGTTTTGAAGATCAACCAACTCAAATTATTGATGAAATTGTACCAAATAATGTTGAGAATGCTAGAAACCCGCCTAATGAAATAAACAGTCCGTTTAAAATACCTTTGCAGTCTCCACTAAGAGTAAAAAGTAGGGATATTCCTAAATTATTGCCGAAACATCAAAATTCCATTAGAAAATGTGATATTGATAATATTAATTATTATAATGCTACTCAGGACATTTTAGATGATTTATGTACCCAAAGAGATGGGTCTCCAATCTTAAACATAGCAACTGAAAAATCAAAAACTACAAAGAGTTCTCCCATTATTATCGACGATGAAATTGTACCGTGTTCGGTGGAAGATTATAAGGTTGGCGATAAGTTTGCAAACATTGAAATAACGTTAAGTCCTACTAAATCTTGCGCAGAACAAAATGCAATGAAGTTTTCTGCAAGTTTATCTAGTCTAGAAGTACGCAATGTAATTGGCGTTGAACCGCCGGTTGCCGAACTAAAAAAGAAAACTACAAGTGAATCCTCTTCGGATTTTGAATGTACCCCTAAAAAAGTTCGACCGTTCTTATTCACGGATAGTGACCTACCAAATAGTCAAGAAATACAAAATAATATCTTCTTAAAACAAAATAAGCCATATGCAACAGAATCTTCGAGTGAATCGGAACCCGAAGTTAATACTGAAGACCAGTTCACTCCATTCGTACACAGGAAGAAAAAACCGAGAACTGTAGCAAAAATAGACCTTACTAAAAGGTTTGATGTTGAAAAGTTGCCTGAACGCGTCATAACAAGAGTCCGAAAACCTACATCTAAAGTTCAAGAAAGTTTACTAGGTACAAAAAAATTAACCGCTAACATATTAAAACCCAAGTTCATTACTGAACAAGAAGATCAAATCGATGAAGACATCATTAAAGAAAACGTAAAACGACTTAAAACGTATGGAAAAGGAAAACTAATTAAAGAAAATACTAGTAACGTTATAAATGACGACAACAAAAGTGAAACTAAAGTTGAAAATAATGATACTAAAAAGAAATCCAAAGATGTAAAAAATGTAAGTACAACAGAAAATAATAAATCCAAAGACAAAATAAAGGTTAAAATTGAAAAACCGAAGAAAAAAGATGTTGAAAAAGATAAAAAAGCAAAAAGTAAAGAAGTATCTTCTCGAAAAGAACAGGATGAAACAAATAAACTAAAAAGTAAGGACAAGTCACAAGACCAAAAAGGCAGAGGAGATACAGATCCAAAGAGCCTAAATGATAAACCTGAATCAGAAGCCGGAATCAGCACCAGAAGTACAAGATCTAGAAGAAAAAATAATGATGTTAAAACAGCTGAAAAGAAGTCTACATCCCCAGATAATAAGAAGGCAACAGTTGACAACGGTAGGAAAGGCAGACCTATTCGTAAGAAGGAACCACCCAAAGAGTCTACTTCTCCTGAAGTTGAAATTCGTAGGAGTCGAAGAAATGTAAAAGCTAAGGAAAATACATCAGATAGTCAAGACCGTCAAAAAATTCAAGGCACGAAATCCATCTTGAAAAAGAGTATTCATGAACAGAGTACTGTCTATAATATTTCCTCATCGAGTGGTGAATCAAATAAGAATTTAAAAAGGTCTTTGGCTGATGACAGTGAGGAACCCAGCCCTAAACGAACCAGGGCTTTTGTGAACAATGTTAATAGCAGTACAAATAATGTGTCGTTGAGAGCCACTCCGGCGAGGACTATGAAGACACAGCATGTACTGCTTACAGCATTTCCCAGTGAAGAGGTTAAACAGAAATTAGAAAAGCTAGGTTAGTATTGCATGTGAAACTTTTTATTTGATTATGGATCAACGAATTTAATATCAATAAGACCGGTTTTAAATAAGTATATGTGTAGGGTAAGTAAACACTGGTATCATACAGAAATATATGGGCCTGTTGGTCGAGTGGTTAGTGCCCCTGACTGCTAAGCCGGAGGTCGTGGGTTCGATTCCCACCCGGGACAAATATTGTGTGATGAGCATGATCATTTGTTCTGTGTCTGGGTGTAATTTATCTATAATATGTATTTCTTTAAAAAATATATAAGTATGTTTATCAGCAGTTTGGTCACCACAGCACAGGCTCTGCCTAGTTTGGGATCAGACGGCCGTGTGTGAAATGTGTGAGGTATATTATTATTATTATATATAGATAAAATACGATCATTTATATTTGCTTTATCATCATCCGAAAGACGTCAACGGCTGGACATAGGGCTCTCCGTAACAACTGGTCCTGTGCTGTATTTTAATATGTTTATATTACAGGAGCAGTGGTGGTAACAAATGTGATGGAGTGTAGTGTCGTACTAACAATACAGGTGAAGCGAACGTTCAAGCTGTTGTGTGCTGTAGGGCTGGGGCGGCCCATCGTGGGGCCCGACTGGGTGCAAGCTTGCGTCGATACACGTATGATTGTCGGTAAGTGCACCTCGGTACATTTTTTTATTTCTTAAAGACGTCTCCTGCATTAGGAATATATCCTATGTCGCGGGGGACTTTACAAACATACATGAAACGGATACAAAGAACACCCAGACTTAGAGCAACAATTTGTGGATCACACAAATTGTAGTCCCATGTGGGGATCGGACCCACAACACACAGCGTAATAGTAAGCGGCGTGACACTCATACCACCACGCCATCCGTGCAGTCGCATATTAAAAATATTTAATCGTGTCAATATGGATTTGGTCACTACTGTTCACGATTGTTGATTGTTTTAGATTGCCAGTATTGTATTCTGATAAGTTATAAAGTTCAAAGGTTATGAACTTTCAGTTCGTAGTTCTTTAGGAGTCATCTATCTATCTACGAGTATAATTTATTAGTATATCTTATATACCTTTCGCCTTTGGGATTTCTATGGTCCGATATCACTGGTACCTTAATAAATCCGATTTTTACTACTGATAGGCCGATTTTATTTAATTATTTGTGATTTTTTAAAATAATTCAATTCAGTCACTAACACACGAGTTTTATTGTCGTTTATTGTATGTCATATCATGTTAACCAAATTTCAGATCCCTGGTTATACTTAGTTAAAGACGATGCTGCAGAGAAGAGATTTCAGTTCAATTTAGAAAGAACTCTTAGTGGCAAGAGGAACTTTCTAAATGGCTATAATGTATCTTCAACACCAAGCGTTCAACCCAACGCATCAGAGATGAAATGTAAGTAACTCGAATTTTAAGTATTGCTCTGGTATTGAATTTTAAGTATTGAATTTTCAGTATTGCTATGTATACTGCTGGGCAGTGCACTCGCCCAAGCTTTTGCACTATTCGTTATAGCTTATAAGATTTTAAGGCTCACATTAAACGTCTCAGCATTGTTGCTTTCTTCTTCCTCCGCGCCTTGTTCCCAAACTAAGTAAAGGCCGGCTTTAAGTGTGCTACGATACAGATGAACTTCGAATTTTTACGTGGCGCACCAAGCACTGGGCGATATCAAAGTTCTGTAGAAAGGCTGTTGACGGACTAACTTTACACTGTGTTACTTAACTACTCCTCTGTACTAACCTACTCGGTAGCCACTTAGAAACGAGCCCGTCCGCATTATTGCTTTCGATACGACTTTTTTACATAGTCAAATGAAGTCGCTTTTTTTGTTGTACGCTTAGATCTTTTAAATTAAGCAACGGATTTTAATGAGGTTTTCACCAATAGAGAGAGTAATTGAAGAGGAAGGTTTATATGTATAATACATACATATTATAGTAGAGAAAATCCGAGAAATTCAAAGATTTGTCGTAAAAACATGGTTTTGCGAGCATACATTGCAAACGCTGGCTAATCCTGAGGAAATAGACCAAAATAATAGGCAGTACATTTTTTTAATCTGTCTTGGAATTGTATATCTTTAAAAGGTCTACAAAAAATCCGCGATGATATATGTCTATCTCCTAAGGATAACCCACAGTAACCAATTATATCTTTAAAAAAATTACAATAAAATTCTCATTTAAAAAAAATGTCCTGAAGTATTATTATCATAATAATAGTATAATAAATGACTGACACCACATTAGTAGTATCTACATTGCACCCGTGCGAAGCCGGGGCGGATCGCTATTAATAATAAAGGAGAGGTAGAAAACCATTAGCCCTCGGTTTAACAACATTACCAAGTAAAATCTTGTAAGGTAAAAAATTGTTATAAATCTTGAAGTCAATTGGCAATGAATCAGCAAAAAATTATGCTTATCAAGTATTTTCGAGAAACTTAAGCAACTAGACAGATCCGTGCATGGGTATGAAATTAAAATTTCGTAAGGTCAATTTCGATATATAGGACTTACATACTACCCCACATTACACTATTACCAGAAATCCCATCCAGAGATATGGGGTTTAATGACAATCATATACTTCAGAGTCCCAGACTTAGGGACTTTTTTACTAGCATGGAATGGTATTTAGACACATTTGTTAAAAGATTCAACTTATCAGCGATATCAAGCCGCGAGTAAGCAGTGGGTTTCCTTATATTTTTATTAAAAGATTAAAACAACAATACTTTTCTGGTTTCAGTGATAGTGGAATGTTCGGGAGGTGTTTGGAAAGAAGGAGGTCCGAACTGGGTCTGCGTATCGTCCACTAAGGATCAAGCACTCTGGCCAAGTCTAAGAAAGCGAGGGGCGACTATTGTGACTACAGAATTTATTTTAGGAGGTGTACTCAGGCAGAAGATAGATATCAATCCAAATAAATTCCCTTAGCAATATATTTTATGAAAGGGTTTTTTTTTTTAAATAAAGTGGCAGGGAATGTCCCATCAGAAAAGTACAACCTACAGTTAAGAAGTAGTCTTACTATACTATGCCGTCTTGGATAGTCAGTACATGTGTCATATACGCAGCCTAAGTGTATGTTAAGAAAGGAAATTGTCACACAAAGTAAAAATCTGGTCTAGTGTTGAATGTGTTCTTGGATTTTAAAGATTCTGTCGTCCAAGTTCTCAGTAGCACACGAGAGCTAAATATGATATGGAGTGTAATAATAATAATGTAGATGTATATTTTAAGAGTTGTTTATTAGGACTGTAAATAAACTTTGATGTAATTAGTTCTTAAACAAAATTGAAATTTCTTATGAAGAAATTGATTATGGATATGGGCAAGTACCTTTTATCAGAATCTGTTTCTCAGAAACTTCAGGATGTCTTTTTTCGCAAAATGTTTGTAGTGTTCCATAATAAATCATTTTTATTTTATTGAGAGATAAAGAACAAAAGAAATCATTATAATATACAAACACAGTTAAAATAACCGTATGTTCAGATATGTTTCATTGACATGTTGGCTGGCTCTTTGTTACTATTAGATAAACAACTTGTTGCGTTTTTAGTGTTTTAGTTATAATAATAATATATAGAATGTATGTTTTAATATATATTTTGGATTTATATATTATGTCCAACTATTCTCAAGACACAAACAAAGAACAACCAATTTTAATGTTATAAATGTTGTTAAACATGTCTTAGATGTGTCTGTTTAATACCAAATTATATCTGGGTGCAGGCCGGTGTAGTCATGTTTATTTTAAGATCTCTTTGCCTCAATCCAGTAAATTATCAATTTACTTTGGGTTTGTCCATTATTTGACATTAATAAACCTAAAGGAGGTAGGAGTGCATGTGTAAATGTGTGTCATGCGGTGTAACATCCGTCACGCCCCCCCTGTCTGACTCTGCCTTAAGCTGACTCTTTACGAAATACTTTGGTGTCTAAGTTCCTTTGGTAGTAGTTACCTACTTTTTGCGTAATAGGATTATTTCAAAATTATGTATGATTGTCGGCAAACAACTTGAACATTCGGAGACGTAGTAAGGGGAAGGTTTGCACTTGCGAGCAAAAAAATAGTACCCAAATATATTTATTAATTTAATTGTATAACTATCTTTTTTTGTATGTATTATATTTATTTGACTGCTAAAACACATAGGCATTTAATTACTTTATTTAATATCTAAAATAAAATATTAGATATCAAATAAAGTAATTTAAGTAACATTAATTGTTAAAAATAACGATAAACTATTTTCTTGCTATGTAGGAGAAAATCGCCTTTGGTTTGATAAATACATTTTCTTGATCTTATAATTTACTGTTAAGGTAAGCAAGATATTCCTTCGATTAGCTCCAAACCAGCAGAAGCAGAACTGGTTCTAGGCATAGCTTCAGGTGTGTTGTTCGTGACATACTGCATATATTTTATAAACAACAAATTTTAATACAAATAAAAACTATACTCGGAAATCAACGGGCGCGGACGCAGCGGGTGAGGCGAGGGTCGACTAATCGACCAGTGGCACGATCCATACGACGGTTCCCGCCGTCGCGGCCCGCACCGCAAAACCAAAGATACCTAAAATACGTTTCTGCGCATTCAAAGACATTGTCCAAGATGTTTGCCGGTAACTATAAATAGCTTTATGTCAAGTGGAAATGATCTGAGATACCGAAAACCGTAAAGTACTAAGAATTCCCACACGAATATAAGAAGACGAAGGATTTAAAATTTTAGTCGGTCAACATTTAATCTATTGCGGAGGCTGTGTTTAGAGTAAAAAAGACTTAGTCTTGCAATTGTTATTATATATATTGTGGTGTTTTACATAATCGAAACTAGAACCTTGATGGGTTTTCGGATATTCTAATTACTAGTGCGTTTACTGGCCCGATCAGAAATAAACTCGCACTAAGCCCCCTGGTATGTTTTTGGTGACCTCTTCAAAATTAATAAATGAACAATGTTTCTTTTAACTTATAAATTAAGGCCTAAAGCTCACAAATTATGGAACTGCTTCGTTGATTGCCAAATGGAATTTCTTCATTGTGTGCCTTTAGAGAGTTAAACTGTTTAAAAGCAGTCGTAGTAATTTAAGCGATTAAAATCCGTCTGATGTGACACGATTTATTTAATTGCTGTTGTAATTGAAATCTTCAATAAGTGATTCTTACCTGTGTTATATTATTAATATCCATCACTAACTTTAGTGGACATAAAAATATTGAGGAATAATTAACGATGCTAAATAATATTCTTTCATGTAAATATCTCTGTACCTGTTTGTTTAATGTTAAATTTTTTAATAATAATGTTAGTGATTTACAAGAAAATTGACATAATATCTTTACGTAGACATAAGTTCGATGTATAACTTAAGTGAAGGAGGCTTGTTCAAAAAAAACCTCCATTAGATAAAGAGCCGTGGGAGAGCCATATTTTGACACAGAGCGGGCTAGGCCGGAGTGAAAGCACGGCCTCTCAGAAACTATTATTATTTACAAAGAAAATTATTTCGCCGTTTTTATCGAGTGAGGGATAATGGCGAAATTCTCAAATGGAGCCAATGCACTTGTCTCTTGTGTGACAGGCGTGCGAGTGGTGGTAGGAATTTACCATCAGTTGATCTTTATGCTCGATTGCCTTACCATAAAATATATATATATATATTTAATTGTGTCACTCTTTTGTAAAAAAAACTGTGTTAATGTGAATATTTGAGATATTGAGGCATCGATGACTTTGTATGAATAACGTCAATGTATAATTTTGTAATACACATGTAGTTGTAATCATTATTTACGTATTTGTATAATTAACATTCTATGATTGTTGTTTATTATTATATAATAAAGGTCTTGATTTTTATGTGGTGTGCTCTTTTAACCTCGATCGGTCGGTCGATCCTCAAGTGCCTTGAAAATGAATGACATAAAATTGACTGAAATTAGAATTTGTCACTTATAGTTAGTCGTCTTTAAATGAATTATACCCAGGTACTCGCTGCACATCAAATCTAATAATATGACTGTAGTCTGTGCATCATGCAAATCTACCCTTTCTTTTTTTACCGTACGGATATCCCCTCGGATACCACCTATCGGTGGCATGTCGGACTCGAACCGACTAAAACCGCACGCCGTCTCGGGTACTAATAGCCGGGGAACCAGGTATACCCTAGAATGCAAATCTACCCTGGGTAAACGGTGTACAGAAAACCAGTGTTAGGCAATTCTTTCGACTCGTTGCGTTTCACCGAGTAAGTGAAGTTATCACACCAATAAATAATTCTGATTCTGACTCCAGCCTCCTAAGTTCTGGAACGACACTCAAAGGGCGAAAAGGCACTTCTGTCTCTTCAGTTGCAGATCCATCTGCTCGTATGCTCATATCGTTGTCATTCATCGACGGCCTCGGCCCTAAGGAGCGCCAACCGTCCAAGTTTTGGACAGTTCGCATCCATCCCCTGGCAGCCATTTTCCTCAAGTCGTCGGTCCATTGTGCCACAGGGCGCCCTTCACCTTATACCAAGTTGAAAAAGTATGACCTACAATTATGTTGAATTAAAACAAGTTGCGTATGCAATACATAATTATATTTACACATTAAACAAAATACTGGCAAAACAAGTTATTTTATATTATTTTAAAACATATAGGTACCTAATAGTAATATACTTTTTATATGTACACGTGGAATGTTTCCATAGAGATAATATATAGATAGAGGAAAGAAAAGAGCCACGATCCAGGGATGTCGGTAGATAGAGAAAGAAGACGGCGATTTACATGCGTCTCTCTCGTACCTCTTCGCTGTTTGCCCGAAGTGATCGCCGTCTTTCTCTTTCTACCAACGTCGCTATTCCACTTTCAGGGAATCCAATACCTTCTCCCCTCTATGAATGTGACAACTTGCAAATTACAGTAATACCATGCATTTCTCACGTATATGTGTGTATACTATGTGCACGTACGTGTATCTACTATGTAATAGTATAAAATTATAAAATATGTACATTTAAAAAATGCCACCGAAATATTAACACAAAATTAGTATCTATTTATATTACACTTTTGTTTTTTATAATTAGTAACTTTTTTTTAATAACCTTGCACTGGGCAATATTTTGTAATAGTAAACACTCACAGCAGTTATAATTAAATTGCACAAATAATTTGTCCCATGCTGGGATAGAGCCTACAACATTGCCGCAGCGACAGTGACCACTATTTTCCTAATCTAGCGATAAACAGTGCTTACTTTATAAACAGACTAATACAGACAGCTATTTAATATTATTGCTCTTATTTAACACGAACAAACGATATATAATCACGGCAGATATCATTAACCAATCGAAACCTATATCAAAGATATCGTACGCATAACTTGCGCCATATTTTAAATGTCATCATGTGCCTTTTACAACACCCAAATATTGCAATCAAATATTTATTAGGCACGTTTATAGATATTTACTTTAACAGACATGGGTAAAAACGAAAAAATAAAATATCTAAAGGAAGTGGCTTTGATATTTTCTCTATGATCTACTACAAAATTTATTAAAATTGTATGCATACAATAGAATATTCTTTTATATTTATTAGGAACATTTATAAAGAATTACTTTAACAGACACGGGTTGAGACGAAAAGATAAAACATAAAGGAAGTGGCTTTGATATTTTCTCTATGATCTTCTAAATTTTTTACTAAAATTGTATGCATACAACAGAATATTTTTTACGTATCTGCTCCTTACAGAATACATTCCAATATGACACTGGGTTACACAAACATAAGTAATAATAATATTGACTAATTAAAACAGTTAAAATTACACACGCATTAAAATCTAAATTGCACATACTTAATACGCTAGCTACCTGGTTTTAGTTACGTAAAACTTACGTAAAAAGTATAACAAGTAAAGCTAGTTAGCTAAAGAATTTACTAAATACGTAAATTCTTTTATCTTCTAGAATTCAAAGCAACCGAGTTTTACAGTAGTCACAAAACATCTGACATCTCTCAACTCTAGCAACGCGGGCGCTCATTGGTCAAATCAAATATCGCTCGCTTCTCCGACTTCCTGTTACACATTTCCGTCCCTTTTCACGAAATTACTCTATAGCGTTCTCTCGTTTAATTCTATAGCGTTCACTCAACTTAGATTTAACAAAATAACTACTGACATGCGTTCTCAGGATCCTAGGATCAGCGCAGGCCGGCAGGAGCACACGAGAGGATTTTTTTAAGACACTAGAAAATATACTTTAAACGTTGTTACAAAGTTACTAAAGTTGTTATAAAGTGCATACATGTTTGAACATGTCAAAAATGTGCTGAACCTTATATTAACTTGCACTTTCTATAACATTATATTTGTGCGCATACTTTAGGTGTAGAAACAAATAATTTAAAAGAAATTGATTCCTAATTAGCCTTTTCGGCCAATGGTTTTTTTAAGCCAGCATTTAATACACACATTTTATTTTAATTACGTATCATGGCTTTTATTACAACATTATAAGTTCAAATTGACAATTCAATACAACTTGCTAATGAAATTGAGCCAATTGGCGACGCAGCATTATCTTCCTTACAAGTTAATTACTTTTCTTTGAATTTCTGAATACATATACATTTTTTTTTATTTACTTTACTCTTTCATATTGTTAATTTGCCAGCCGTATTTATTGGCGTAATCAGAGTATACTAAACTTGAAATACTAATAAGATATCTTGGAAATTACACATTTTGAACGAAAAATGTACCACGGAAATAATTGTGTCAGGGGTTTAAAACATTTTTATACAATGTATTTGATAGGGAGGTGTTTTTATTCAAGTTTTGCGTACATTGCGTATTTAGGTACTTTGAATATTGGTATTTCTAGGCCCAAGCATCCAACAGTCCCTCCCCGGGTTTCAAACCAAATCTTTATGTTTGAAGTGAGATATTGACAGATGAAACCATAATAATAATTTCCAGTGTAAATATATTTTAAAATTAATAGTTTCGATTCCTGAATTGCAACAATTGCAAAATCGCAAAGTCATAGGACGAATTCTCAAACAGGACAAGATGCGTCTAACTCTTCTTAGACATCAGAGCCTGTTCTTTGTCCTTCAATTTTTCTAGTTATCTCTAATTATATGTATAATTTTACTGTATATACATAATTACGCTTCAGGATTGCTCTTCATTAGTTGAAGGTCAGCCTCTACCATGTCCTTGACGAGCTGATCAAAGCTCACCTTCGGCGTCCAGCCTAACTTCTCTTTGGCCTTTGATGGATCTCCAAGTAATAGATCCTGAAAAACACGACAATAAGGTCTTTGATTGTAAAGTCTGGTAACTTAAATTGGACAGAGTGCGTATTCCTTGCATTTTGAGGTGAAATTATGAGATAGGAATCGAGGTATAAAACGTTTCTCTTCGAATTCGATCTGGCAATCTTGGTAGTATCAAAATCATGTATATTGTTTATTTGGCACGTGGCAGTTGAATCTATGAATAAATCACATTGTTCTCTAAAAATTACATAAATTACAATAACTAGTGAAGACAAGGTTAACACATTGGTTCCTAAAATAAATATTTTTAGATGTGATGATTAAATGTAAAAAATATTTTTATGCAGTCTACTAGTCTTCCGATTTTATAACCAGACCGAATAACACAACAATCAGGCTGAGTAAACAAAGTCACAAACTTGTGTTCTTTACTCACCACTTCTGTTGGTCTGAAGTATTTTGGATTGACCTTAACCAGGAGCTGATCAGTGTCAGCATCGTGTCCCGTCTCAGTTTCCCCGTGCCCCCGCCACGTCAACTTCCGTCCAACACACGCGAAAGCTCGCTCGACGAATTCCCGAACGCTGTGAGCCTCTCCTGTTGCTACTACAAAGTCTTCGGCTTCAGATTGTTGAAGCATTAGCCACATGGCCTGCCGAAGAATAATAATATATAAATATTTGTAAAAACTCAAAAGCCTGTTTATTTAGACTATTTTAAACCATTTTCATATTCTTGTTACGTGAAGCTAAAAAAAAATATGGACTTTTTTTTATTAAGTGGTATAAAAATGGTTTTAACATAATAAGTTGAATGAAAAAATAAACATAACAAAATTCTAATTCAACCAAATAATAATGTTATTTGAACCATAGGGTCGCAGGCTTGAACCCCAATAGAACTTATTTAATATTTAGAACACTAATATTCTTCCTCGCTTTGTCTCATCAAAAATTATATAGGCTGTTCATTCGTTAATACCCCGCAGAGCACACGCACACAGAGCATGGTCAGGGTCACCAGATGTTCGGGGGTCGTCTACTCGTCTGTAGATGACCCGAGGTATGTCGGGGCACCAGGGCCTTCCTTTCTAGGGTATACCTGGTTCCCCGGCTATTAGTACCCGGCGAAGGCGTGCGGTTTTAGTCGGTTCGAGTCCGACATGCCACCGACAGGTGGTATCCGAGGGGATTTCCGCACGGAAAAAAAAAAAAAAAAAAAAAAAAAAAAGGGTCACCAGATGTATAGGCCCAGTTCGCTAAGATTGAAGCTAAGTTAAGAGCTTTCAGTTCTTAACAAAATCAGAACGTCTTCCTAAAAGGAACGAAGTGCCAAGAGTTTGGACCCTTGCAAAGCAATGTTTTAGAAAGCAGCACTAACCTCAATATAATCCTTAGCGTGGCCCCAATCTCTTTTACTATCCAGATTACCCAATTCTAGGTACTCCATGAGTCCTAGGGTTATCTTTGCGACGCCTCTTGTTATTTTTCTGGTGACGAAGTTCTCTCCTCGCCGAGGACTCTCGTGGTTAAAGAGCAGTCCGTTACAGGCGAACATGCCGTATGCTTCCCGGTAATTGACCACGATCCAGTAGCCATAAAGTTTTGCACATGCTGTAAATTAAAAAATTCATGTAGGTAGGTCTAGAATTACCACTCCTCCTTAAAAGATCCTTACTTTCTGATCTATGCTAATATTATAAAGAGGTAAAGTTTATGAGTTTGTATATTTGGGGTAATTTAAATAGGTATTTCTTCGATTTAAAATCAGGGGTCAGGTAGCATTTCACAAAATAGGTACAGCACATTAGATTTTGCTTTTAATTGGAGCCACAGTGGAAGAACCATGCGAGCATGTGGCCCGGCTCGACCGGAGTGATACCGCGGATTGACAGAAAACCAATCCCAATCCCAATAAAAAAGTGTTAAGCAATCCTCTTGGTGCTTTTCAACAAGTGAGTGAGGTTGTCGGGGCCCAACCCCTCCCAAATTTTGGTGGATAACGCCTCCGCGACACAGGAATATATCCTGTGTCGCGACACAGGACTTTACAAACATACATAAAACGGACACAACTAACAGCCAGACTCAGAACGACAACTTGTGGATCACACAAAGTGTCGTCCCTGTGGAGATCGAACCCACAACACTCAGCGTAGTAGATAAAAACCCGACTCATGGTTAGTTGATGTCCGAATAGTAAGTTTTCGTCTCCAATCACAGGACAGACATATTGGTATGTGACACCGGTAGATCATGATCATGGTATATAGGAGTTACAGCAGTAGGCGTGTGTGTGTTTTTTTTTCTATGGTTATCCTGCAATTAGTCATCTGGACCATGAGCAGATGTGGTGCAGGTAGGATGTTTTTTGGGGTGCTAAAGAAATCCCAGTGGAGCCCACTCTTTATTATATATAGTCGCTTTTTCAATCGACGTGTTGTCTAGGGAATGGTGAGCTGTCTTGCAAGCTGGTTTGGGTGTTTTTGAAGTCGTGACATGTAGCGAGAGCCATGGCTGTGGAACACTTCTCTAACCATGGGCATGTTTAAGATTTCGTGTATTTCCTTTGTTGTGATGAACCATGGCGCTTTGATTATTTGTTTCACGATATAGTGTGGGAGTGATTAGTCCCATAATAAGAAATGGGTAGGAAAATAATCATGAATTACCATGGAGTATCATACTGCAATAGTGCAGAAGAAATTCTGTCACTATACTTTCTGAAGATCACCACACTTGGATTTTTTAAATATCAAACATGATTGTTTTATCATACAGTTTGATACCGTAGTACAGTTCAAAAGAGATTATTGGATAAAATCATAATTCCTACTTATGTTCAATATTTTGATAAAAATCAATCAATTCATCGGTTGTTAAAAGACCGCTATAAAACAACTGTTTTCAATTTACCGTATCGCAATATGAAACGGATTCCAATTTGCAACACTTAGCCTACTCTATACAATACTCGATAATCGATCGATAACTGACGCCATTCCTATAACCATTTCTGAGTATAGTGTAGTAACATAATAAACTCTATGGTTTACGTAATTACCTGTAATTTCCGTTGGCGCGTTGGTAATCAAACCATTGTTTGAAATTCTTTATCACTGAAGACTTTAATTGAATTTCTACGAAATGTATTGATATAACACAAATATCAAAGATAGTTTGAGGTTCGTCGAAATGTGAAGGTAGAATTCCTTCGTGCATTGTGTTAAGTGAACGACAGGCACAACAACAAAACTATATAACTAAAAATAACACCTGATGTGTTATTAAAAAACAAAACTATCTAGCCTATCCTAGCTTTGGCGATTTATCTAAATACATAAATCGCCAAAGCTAGGACACTTTATGCTAATGTAGCTAATTTTGTTTTGGCAGTAATTTTATAATAATAATATTTCGGACATCTAACACACAATTACGCCATCTAGTTTCAACCTAAGCAGAGCTTGTACTATGAAAGCTAGATTGATAGAATACTTTTATACTTTATTGTAAATACATACTATATCCGTATTATACGTATATAAAAAAACAAAGAAAACATCCAAACTCCGAAACAAATATTTGCAGATTCGACCCGGGAATCGAACCAGCGACTCAGGACAGCAGTCGCATACGCTACCACTGCAACACCGAGGCAGTCAATTAGGTAATATAGAACAGACAAATTTAATTATATTACCTATGTAACGCGTTGTGTAATAAAAATAGTGTTTTGATTAACATTGACCGATCAAGTTTGCGCATGGTCTTGGGAGGAGGAGGGGAAGGAGGTGGCGGGGGGCTGCAAGGGCGGCACTGGACTCTTGAGTAACATTTGTCCATGGGGCGGTAGTTACTTACTATCTGGTGCCTAACCGCTATTTTTGCCGCCATATCAAATAAAAATTCCGATTCCCAGCCCCGGATCTAGGGAGGACGGGAGTTTCATAATATAGTACGATTAAAAATAAAAAACTTTCTCCACAAAGCGCCTAGCATAGGAAAGCCAGGTTGGCTCACCGTTGACTTGTAAGAAAAAGGCGCCACACAGGCCTACACTACAAGGGAACGTTTATATTTGTGAGTTTTTTAAAGTAATTTACTAATTTTTTTGTAAACACATACATTTTATACATAGAAAATACCCAAACTCCGAAACAAATATTTGTTGATCATACAAACATTTGGTCCTACTGGGAATCGAGCCCGAGACCTCAGCACAGCAATCGCATACGTTACTACTGCGCCACCGAGGCAGTTGAAGTAGGCCAGAACCTCCTTTCTAAGGAGAGGCCTATGTATAGCACTGTTAAAGGCTGTTGGCTGTTAAACATCAGTTTATGTCTTTTAATCGTGCTTACCATACGGTGATCTTGGATAAAACGGGGTCTTCTCATTTTGTGGCACTTCGACAACCTTTCCATATAATTCTGAGGTGGACGCTTGATATATTTTGGTCTCCTTTGCAAGACCCGCCGCTCGCACCGCCTCCAGTAGCCTGAGAGTACCCAGGGCATCTACTTGTGCTGTATATTCACTAAGTTCGAATGAAACCTTCACGTGGGACTGAGCGCCTAAATTGTATATTTCTTTAGGTCGAATCTGGAATAGAAGGTAGAACTTTAATATATATGCCTCGACCGGAGGAGGCCTTACAAAAAACTGTTGTTAACCAATTCTTGCGTTACTGTTTACCGAGTGAATGAGGTTGCCGGAGCCCAACCCCTGACCCGTTTTCCCCTAACTCTGAGAGGTCTGGTGCTTAAATGGCGGCAGCGCACTTTTGGTCAATCTTGAGTTGAAAGTGTTGATGGGTGGCGGTGGTCACTTACCACCAGGTGAATCGTCTGCTTGTTTGCCCCTGTTAAATCATTTGTGCGTAATGATTTCCAGACGGAAGAAAGAAAGTAACTTGGGATAAGGAAAACGGATAGGGTAAGAGAGCCAGTTTAAGAGACACTGTAAGTTTCCGATGGGAGAACAGGATTGAGACTGCAGTAGCTAAGGATCCAGGGTCGCAAATCCGTATGTCCCTTCTGTGAAGGCCCACTAGACCAGGGACATCTAGTGGCCGAAAGCTGACAATTTATTTAAAGTTAATTCTTTTGAAATAAACGACATCACCGGCCTAATTATTTCAAAAACAAATATGTTAATTTTCTTTAAACGATTTGAATATTGATAAAGTTATCTTTCGGAAGTACTAGCTATTACTTCAAAACGTTTTTTTTAAACAACGAAGTTTTGTATTATTGTCATGAAGCGCGAGAATTATTTTTTCTCAAAAGATTACGACTTTTTATACGTAAAATGTTTGAGCGAATAAATACTATAATCAAAATGGTTTCAGTCGGTTCAGGAAAGCCACTAATAATATGAGTAGGGAAATGAGTCAAGCCGGCAAAAAATTGTTTTATGTTACTCAAACGCCCCCCAAGCCAAATGGAATGACATCCTGAGACAGGTTGGGGATGCAGATTGGATGTGGAAAGTGGAGGAAGCGTTGAGCGGCCTAGCAGTAGACTGCATTGAACTCTGACTCATTGATCATTTTCCCAATTATTTCGAGTGCCCACAAGCTCTTCATTAAACATCAACAAGCCAAGAAAAGGATATACGTCGTAATTTATTTAAAGTAAATTACTTTAAAGATAAGGCACGGCTAAATTATTTAAAAAACTATCGGTTTAATCAATCGATATTAATAAAGTTATCTTTCGGAAGTTATCAGCTTTATTTTAGGTGGAAGGTATGGCTTGGTTACTAATAACAATAATTCCCTGATTCCGATATTGATTACTTGATATGAAAAATATACTAATGTAAGTGACAGCAGTGATTATGATACGTGAATGTAATGGAGTCGTCTAACCTAAGGAAATAAACATTTTCAATCATACATACATACGAGTACACTTACGGGCCTGTTGCCAGAGGTCGGGTCTGATTCCCACCCATGACAAATACTGTGTGATGACAACGATCATTTTGTCTTGTGTCTATGTGTTATTTGTCTTCAATACACTTATATGTATTTCGAAACATCTCAATATGTTTATTTAGAAAAATATATGAGTATTATGAGTGTTTGTTTGTTTACACTTAGGCTTTTTTCCCCGAGAGTAGACTGATTTAGTCCTACTAATGTAACAGGAGACAAGCCCGTCGCTGTCAACAGGGGACTTTAGGAATTAGAGTGGAACATTATAAGTTAAAAAGGAAAGATACATAATAAAAGAAAACCGTTATTGCCTTGAGAAATCCTAGACCTCTAAGCGAATAACCAATGCAGACGATAAGCAAAAAAAAATGAGATTTAATGTACCTATACTTTATACTAATAGTTTGATTAAAAAAATATAATCTTTTCTCTAGATCATTAAAAATACAGTTTAGTGATTATAAAATTTACGAGTACCACAACAAAATGATATAGCATTATAATTTAAAATTTTAATGGGTCTTAAAAAAGTTTAGGACTGGATACCCATTGTACTCGTACTGCGAATATTATTACAGTAGGTACTTATATGTTTTATGTACTTATATGAGCTAGTCTCATGGCTGCGGCTCCGCCCGCGTATATGTCGGTTATCGCGGCAAAAAGTAGCGTATGTCCTTCCTCGAGAGTTAAAGAATCCCCAAGCCAAATTTTATTAAAATTGATTCAGCGGTTTAGACGTGAAAGCGTTACAGACAAACAGATTTACTTTCGCATTTAGAATATTCGCAGGGATTGCAGATGCTTTCTTATGATAACTAGAGATTGCTGGTGGTCGAAATTGAATCTTTTCTTTCTTTTAAAAAGACAACTCCCGCACTAGGAATGTATCTTGTGTCGTGGGGGACTTTCGAACATACAAAGAACACACAGTCAGAACAAAAATCTGTATAAAAATCCAACCCACAACCCTCAACGTCGAAGTGACCGCTTAAACCACAATGCCATCCGTGCAGTCAATTTTAATTCATGTTTTCTTTGTGTCTATTCCATGAATATCAGTAAAGTTCCCGACGACATAGGCTACATTCCTAGTGCGGGAGTTGTCTTATTTAAGAATTAAAATAAAATAAGCTACAAGTGTTATTTTTTTGCGTAACAAGGCACACAGATTAATGACAGTTCAGAATTAGCAAACCAAATATTACTTTTTTAATTACGTCAAATAGTCAGATGAAGACAACCAGGTTTAGATAAACTTGAGATTAAAAACTTTTTTTTTAAATAAATTATTCTTAAATTAATTTAATTTAAAATAAAATTACCTTTGTAATAATACTAATGAGGCAGGTTGTATCAGTCAGGTCACCGTAGTGTAAGTGCATTCTGCCTCCAGTATGACATGCTGGCCGTCCATACAAGTGCTGTATACGGCCTGTGTTGAATGATGAAGAGCGACGAATCACACCGTGAACTTCATAACCCTTGTCAATGAGAAACTCCGCGAGGTATGACCCATCCTGAGGAAATAACAGTATTTGTACCAATTACAAGGATACCTATCTTCTTTTCTTATTTTAAAAAGACAACTCCTTTACTAGGAGTATAATCCTTTGTCGGTCGGGGACTTTACAAACACACATGGAATGGATAAAAAGAACACCCAGACTCAGGACAAGGAATTTATGGATCACTCAAAGTGATATCCCTTGTGGGGATTGAACCCAACCCCCATTTAGCGTAGTAGGAAGCGGATAGGTGACCTGTTAAATCACTATGCCATCCATGCAGTCTACTTTTTGTTTTTATTTATTTATTTACATAACTACAGAATTAGTTAAATGTAGGCAAACCTTAAACCACTCGGGTTTATGCCGCTTGCCACAACATGCAAAATCAATTTAGTACATAATAATTAATAGGTAAATAACATAAGTAATTAAAATAATAACATTAACTTAATAGTATTAAGTTTAGGGTAGAATACAAAAACATTATATTCACGAGTGGGCAGGCACTTTTATTCTCGAGCAAACAAAGGGAATTTACAGGCTGTTCACGAAATGTGTTTTCAATTTTTGTTTTAGATTTACTTTTGTTATTCTTTGTTTAATCATCCTAATTCTTAAAGTAGAGTCTCATACACATAGAGTGCTCACATGTGCGTGTTGTTCCAGTAAGTATATTATTTTATGTGTGTGAATTGTAAATTATTTTAGGGCATTGGATATTGTTAATTTCTGTTCCTAAATTTTTATAGTAAAACTTTTATAATTTTATACTATTGCTATCTGGTACCGAGACTTCGTTCATGTGGAGTTTGAAAAGCTCTGCCTTAGTGGTGTAGTAGGGTATGTAAGGCCTTGGTTTCGAAGGCCGAATTGTGCAAAACTTTACAAAAATATGCATGAGCATGAAAAAACATATTACTTTGACATTAAAAACAGACACTTCAATTTTATTTATTTGTATAAATGTGTTCAACAAATATGTGAAACATAAACCGCCATTCTATTTAGTCATCAAGTCAGTACAGACAAAGTAGATAAATTGTTTTGTTGCAAATATCATCTCTTAAAACTTGACTTAAATTTTTGTTTTGCATAAGCAAAAAGTACAATTATTGGACCTAATAAGGAAAGTCCAAATTATTGGTCCTCCGATTTACAGAACGTTTAACATCATTGTTTTATCATCATCGGCATAAGGATAGTACCTCATTTTAAATATCATAATGAATGAGTAACATGGCTTTACTAATTTATGTAGGGTAATTAAAAATATATTATTGAAATACAATTTAATGTGAATGAAAGAAAGAAGAATGTAATTAATTTTTAGTCATTCTGACTTTTTATGTAGAATAATTGAAAACTATAGAAATATGACTGCACGAATGGTGTAGTGGTTTAAGCGGTCACCATGCTGATTTCTACTGCGCTGAGTGTTGTGGGTTGGAGCTCCACAAGGGTCAACACTGTGTGATCAACAAATAGTTGTCCTAAGTCTGGGTGTTCTTTGTGCCTATTTTATGTATATTTGTCAAGACCCTGCGACACAGGACATATTCATTTGTTGTCTTTAAAAATAAGTACACTTAAAGACAGTATCGAAATTACATCTGAAAGAAGAATTTTTGCAAATTTCAATTAACTGATGCAGACTATCAAATCAAAATCCATCAAAAAAAGTTGTAACGTCATCATCAACAGCCTTTACTAGTCTACTACTGGACATAGGTCTCTCCTTAGAAAGGAGGGTTTGGCCTTCCATACAACGTTGTCCAGTGGGATTGCTATAGGGTTTGTTTTTAGTTTTCCTTCTATTTGCAGTGCTGTTATCCTACACAGTTTCTTCCCTTAATTGGCTTTTATGAGACCCTCCGGATGAATAGGGGTGGTCACATTCCTTATTCTTAATTCGTCACCACAAGGACTTGAACAGAAACAGAAACTTGCAACATACCTACAATAAAAACAGCTTTGAGTTAGCACGAGATTCGTGTAGACATTTATTGAAAGGAATTTGTATGATTAAGAAATAAAACAGCAACTGAGTAATAACATTTCAGAATTGGTGTTTCAATTTTTAATTTGGGTTTTATAAAAATTCTTAGAGTTAACTTGATCTGTTTAAATACCTTAATCTCATCCAAGATAGTGTTTCATCCTAATAGCAAACATTGTATTATAAAAGAGCAAATGTAATTTTAATTATTGACACCAATAAAGTTATGGAAACAGTCTATAAAGGGTAATTAGAAAGTAAATTAATCCCTTTATAGACTGTTTCCATAATTTTATTGGTGTTCTCTTGTCAATGAATTAAAAAAAAAACATAATGAAGAAAATGTAAAACAAAGAAACAAATAACATTAGCACATGTTTTGCTTACAGGACTTCAAGTATAAAATTACCTATTTAATTACTCCCATGTTTAATCTACGTGGCCAAGGTATTAGTTATTATAAGTTACTTATAACATTACAAGAACATTGTACATACCTGGCCAGTAATTCCAGTAATAAGTGCTACCTTCTTATTCTCATTGCAGTTAGCGGCTTCGCCTGACATAGTGATCTATAAGTTTTCAATTTTTTTCGTAATGTGTTCAACCAGCAACACGTCTGCAGTATACAAGCCGGCGTGTACTGCTGTTAATGTGTATGATAAGCTTATCATAACAAGTAATTTGACATCTATTAGCGTTCATATGCGAAGTATATATTAGTTTGACAATCTTAGTTAACAGGCATTTGAAGAGGAAAGTACAATTTAATTATTTCTTATATTAAATAAAATCTATTGTTATCAATGTGCCGCCTTCTTATTTAAAAAATATTTATAATTTTTAAGCCACCTACTAATCCCTTCTGACAGAAAACTTTGAAAGCCAAATGACAATTATAGTAAGTACCTAACTAATTTTTTTCTTATTTGACATTGTTTCTCCTGAGATAAAGTACTTGTCGATGAAAGTAATTTAATGATCACATGGTAAAGGTAAATGGAACAAAAAGTATTTCTAGCAAAGTAAAACACACTGAAACAACTAGACAAATAAGGTTTTCAGTTAATTGTTATTAATACACAATAACAAATAAATGTTGTTGTTGATTTCGTATTTATTGTTTTTTGAGGTCTTTGATTTGTCAGGTTTCTTTTCCTTGAGTACTATAGGTAATTGTTAAACTCTGTATTATAAATATTCGTGTTAAAGTGTGTTTCACTTTTACTGTTATGTATACCTTGTAATTAAAACTTAAAAAAAATAACTTGTGATAGAGAGAACTGTTAAGTTTAGTTTGACTGTATATAACAGAAATGATCTTGTTTCGCTTTAGTCTACATAACTAAACTTAAAAAGCTTCAAATAGGTGGATAGATGTTTCTTACATTAGTTTCCACAGGATAACTACTACCACGGTACTATTATAATACAGTACTCCAACTTCATACAAACGGACGAAACGCGAGCTATACCTACGCGCCTCGATCTCGGGGTGCGCTCGGGGCGCAGACAGTCACGGTTGTATCGCAGTGTCGAACGGACTGTGTGTTGTTTTTTTAACAATAACCGAGCGATTTTTTCTCTAAAAATCAGTTAATATGACGAGTAGGAAATATTGTGCTGTTTTTGGTTGTATGAATTCGTTAATAACGCATCCAGACATAAGTTATTTTAAATTACCTGGAAACTCTGAAAGGTAAGACTATAAAATAATTTTACTTACTAGTAGGTAGGTACATACATAATGTGTGTCTTTTTAATGGATAAGTATTTCCTTTTATCTCACGAAAAAAAAGGTGTTTGGATGAATAAATAAAGCAAATAGAGTAACGGAAAGTTATTGAGACGAGTGAAATAGGGAGTTATATGCGGTTCTGAATGAATCATGATACGGTAGGTACCTACCTACTTACGCTTGTGTTAAAACTTCGGTGCATGTGTGTTTTGTTACTTTGCATAATTCCAAGTAAAGACGTGGTATTTCACTATTAATAATATTTGTTTATTATCTGTGTGTATGAATAATACTAAAATTAATTAATCTGTGTGTCATTAGACAGTTTTCGAAATTTTCACAAAGTGTTTCTGCTGCTACTTTAACAACATATACCACTAAAAACTGGTTTTATTTTCTCGGTATTAACAACAACAGCTAGACTCATATATAATATTTAGATGTTTGAGGGTTGTGATTTTAAAACATTCGTAGTCAGCTGTTCAGCTTTTTAATAATTAATTAATTGGTGACCAAAGAATTTTTGTTTTGAGTTGTTGCGAGTTGTAGGTAGGTACCTAATTTATAGAGACGTTAATAAGCTGAGATAAAAAGTTACTTACTCGTCAGCTGTTTCTTGCATTCTAGTTGAGTAGGTAGGTGTTGGAGTTTCTAAGGATTGGAGTTTTGTAACGCGTAAGGAGAAAGCACATTTATTTTATTTTATAAAAGGATTTTTTTCGGTCGCAAATTTATAAGCCCGATTTGTTTTTCAAACAAAAACATGTTTTTTTAATTAAATCTACCAATCAAAAAACAACACGCATTTTTATTGAACACTTCCTATTCAATATACAAAGTATTTCATTTATTTATATAAAAAGGATATTTACAATCACAAATCTAAATAGAAACAGAAAGTAGGCAAATATAATTAAAATGCTGGAGACGGGCAGCCCTAACGCATGTTTACGTACCGCGCGGCTGTAGGCATTTATTTCTATCATGCGACCGAGTCACACTACTGTATTATAATTGTACCGTGCTACGACTTTGAAATCGATTTCATTAGCTAGTTGCCATACTTGCCATAGATTATAAGAAAAAGGTTTGACTACTTTGACATACGGATTGGTTATTTGGTTATCATATCATTGGTGCTCCATGGTTTTATAAATAAGTTTTTAAAGAAGAAAAGTACGCATTAGACATTACGCAGTATTGGTGCATGGAAAAACATTCTAGTGAAAAACACACCAAAGAATGTAATGAATGTTAAAAGCTTTATGAAAACAGTTACAACGTTATTAGATTATTACGTTCTACAGATCCTGGAGGAGAGATAAAGTAATAACATGCCCGAAATAAAGATTACACCACTCGGTGCTGGTCAAGATGTGGGCCGTAGCTGCATCTTACTATCTATGGGTGGCAAAAATATCATGCTCGACTGCGGTATGCATATGGGTTACAACGACGAGCGGCGTTTTCCAGATTTCTCATACATTGTTCCTGAAGGCCCTATTACCAGTCAAATAGATTGTGTTATCATATCCCATTTTCACCTTGACCATTGCGGAGCTCTACCATATATGTCAGAGATGGTTGGCTACACAGGTCCCATCTATATGACCCATCCTACCAAAGCTATAGCTCCTATACTTCTTGAAGATATGAGGAAAGTAGCTGTAGAGAGAAAAGGTGAATCAAATTTCTTCACATCACAGATGATTAAGGATTGCATAAAGAAGGTGACTGCTGTTACTCTTCATCAGTCTGTAATGGTTGATAACGAACTAGAAATTAAGGCCTATTATGCCGGTCATGTTCTTGGTGCTGCTATGTTTTGGATCCGTGTTGGATCACAATCTGTCGTCTACACTGGCGATTACAACATGACCCCAGACAGACATCTGGGTGCAGCATGGATTGATAAATGCAGACCAGATCTTCTTATCACAGAATCAACATATGCTACAACAATTCGTGATTCTAAACGGTGCCGTGAAAGAGATTTCCTTAAAAAGGTACATGAATGCGTGGAAAAAGGTGGTAAAGTCCTGATACCTGTCTTTGCCTTAGGCAGAGCTCAAGAGCTTTGTATTCTACTTGAGACATACTGGGAAAGAATGAATTTAAAATGCCCAGTGTATTTTGCATTGGGGTTGACAGAGAAAGCTAATAACTATTATAAGATGTTCATAACATGGACTAATCAAAAGATTAGAAAGACATTTGTGCAAAGAAATATGTTCGATTTTAAACATATTAAACCTTTTGACAAGTCTTTTATTGACAATCCTGGTGCAATGGTTGTTTTTGCCACACCAGGCATGTTGCATGCTGGATTATCTCTTAACATTTTCAAAAAGTGGGCACCTTATGAACAGAATATGGTCATAATGCCTGGGTTCTGTGTCCAAGGTACAGTTGGTCACAAAATCCTAAATGGAGCTAAGAAAGTTGAACTTGAAAACCGGCAAGTAGTTGAAGTTAAAATGGCTGTTGAATACATGTCATTCTCGGCACATGCTGATGCTAAAGGTATAATGCAGTTAATCCAGTACTGTGAGCCGAAGAATGTGTTATTAGTACATGGGGAGGCACAGAAAATGGAATTTTTAAAGGACAAAATTGAAAAAGAGTTTAAAATTAGTTGTTTCATGCCAGCTAATGGTGAAACATGTACAATTAATACCCCAACCAAGATTCCTATTGATGTATCTCTGAGGTTGCTAAAGGCAGAAGCTGTGAGATATAATGCGCAACCTCCAGACCCTAAACGGAGAAGAGTTGTCAATGGTATTCTTTGCGTCAGAGACAACAGATTGTCCCTCATTGATATTGATGAAATGTGTGATGAAATAGGCATAAACAGGCATGTTATTAGGTTTACTAGCACAGTCAGGTTTGAAGATCCTGGGCCTTCAGTCAAAACAGCAGAAAAGTTGAAAACATTGCTTGCAGAGAAACTGGAAGGTTGGACAATCACTATATCAGAGGCTAACATATCTGTTGAGTCTGTGCTTATAAAGGTTGAGGGTGAAGATGATAGCACTAAGAACATATATGTGTCTTGGACAAATCAAGATGAAGATTTAGGTAGTTATATATTAGGTTTACTCCAATCAATGGTCCAGTAAAATATAAAACAAGTTTAGAGAATTCTTAGAAGTTTGTTTTTAATAAATCATTATTTTCACACAAATACTTTATTTCATTTTTTCTTATTTAATGCTGATAGTTTGTGCTACACACACTAGTTTATGATACGTAGGTACACACAGCTGATTTGAAACCCGAGTATTCCCTTCCGAACTTACTCTAGTCATTCTATTCAAGAACAGTTGAAACAGCATTAAGTAAATACCTCAAATGGTGTTTAATTAATTTCAAGTTATTTTCCTGTTTTAAGATTCAGCTGTTTATTCTGTTTTACATAAGTCTGATCTTATGTGTACACCTACTTCAATCTAGTAATTGTTGGTCATTATTTACATAATAATATGTTATGATATGACTTGCTACTTTTCGTAGATATTAAATGTATTAATAAAATTGCTTAGATATAAATAAGTACCTACAAAAACGGGAATGACTCAATGTTGCAAAACTATTTAATTAATTATATGTAAGTAAGACAGGAGGTGTCTAAGGAAAGACTTATGTCCTAAAGGGCTAAAGGCTGTTGATGATGATGGCGCAGCCCGGCCATCGAAATTTAAATACGTACCAATTAAATGTTCTTTTATTGTTCTTGCAGTAATATGAATAGATTAAATGTACCACTAATATATCTTGTTAAAAAGCAATTGTTGCAATTGCAATTGTTTGTGCAGCCCGGCCACGTGTAATAGGCAGGATGCTTGGAATGTTCTAAAATATATTAACAAAAAATATATTATTATTATTATTACTAAAAAAATGTTTCGTTTGTGGTCTTTATTCTTTTCCACGAATATACCAAGAAGAACGCTCACATTAACAGAAAATTATTTCAAAAAGGAATTTGCACTAAGCGCATTCGCCTCTCCCTTGTTGTTTAATTGTTTACATACTTACATTGCTATTTTAGTAGTTTAGGCGTAAGTTAATACCACCGCCCATGGTCACCTGCAACCTCAAGAGTCAGAAGTGCGTTGCCCCTCTCTCCTCAGATCAGGGAGTTTGAGATCAAGGGCCTATTATAGTGCAAATTTGTTTCTTATCATCTCGCTCTTGACGAAGATTGCGGTTGGCGTTGCTATTCGTGAAAGTTTCGCGAAAAGGACGCGACGATCGAGTAGACGAAATGGAGATATACCATATGTATCTATGTGATAAACCGTGATAAACCAGAAATCATAACATCACAGTCACAAGACTGCTTTACTTTATTATTATTATTACTCTAGCGCAAGAATCGCAAAAGGTCTCAATCTAAAGAAAAAGGTTTTAATGAATTGATTTTAATGTCATTTATGACGCGACGATGAAATCATAATCACATGTGGAATCTCTGTGACATAAACAAATCATTTCATCAAAAAAATATGACTGGCCGGATGGCGTAGTGGTTTAAGTGGTCGCCGCTTACTACTACGCTGAGTGTTGTGGGTCCGATCCCACATGGGACGACGCTTTGAGTGATCCACAAATTGTTGTTCTGAGTCTGGGTGTTCCTTGTGCCCGTTTCATGTATGTTTGTTAAGTCACCCGTGACACAGGATATATTCCTAATGCGGGAATCGTCTTTTTAAAAAGAAAAGAAGAAAGAATTTAAAAATAATTTCCATGTCTAGTAATCTCACTCACTCGGTGAAAAGTAACAAAAGAATTGCTTAACACCAGTTTTCTGAAACCAAGCCGGTCCATTTGAGCCGAAACATGGCTCTCCCCATTGAGTTAAACAAAAAAATGTGTGTTAAAATAGATAAATGGCTCTCCCTCTCGCACGTTTAAGTAATGTGTAAGTTGAAATGAGTGTTCGTGTACAAATTTAATTTAGGTATCTTAATTCCAGCATCCTATGAGGGTTGTTCTTACAATTTCGAAAGTGTTGGTCAGGTCATTGTGAGCGATACAATGCAATTCTAAAAATCTTATAGAATATAAATTTTTTGAATTCCAAAATATTAATATTATTATTTAATTCCAAGTAAAAATAGAAAAACTTAATTACTTTAAGTTGCCAGGGTACTTCGACAGATGGCGTTAGCATCGAATCAGATCTACAAAGTAATCAGCCAAATGGCCAAATCTTCTAACTGGCACTCGTAAGGTTCTGTAGCATGTAGCATCACATAAAAACTAATTTCATATTGATTAAAATAATATAAAAATAATCGACCTCACGTAGGCATGTATTTAAATATCTGCTGAATGCTATTATGGTACTAAATAATTTATGTAAATAGAGAGTGTACGGCACAATAGGTACGGAGTTTAAGCAGAGTCAACATCTTGTGTCAGGGGCTCGAGGCAAGTGGTAACCAAGTAACTTAACATATTGCAAAGTTAAGCAATCCTAGCCAGGTCAGTGTAGGAACGGGTGACCATTTTGAACACATTGATCCCGGTCCCGGTTGCCATACCGATACGGGTCGTTGGAGCCCAATAAGCCCGACAGCAGTCTTTCTACAGAACTTCGATATCGCCTTGGGTTGTGAAGGTCTGATGACAGTCGCTCCGCTTAAAACATCGAAGTTCAACCGTATCGTAGACCCTAACCTAGTTTTGGAAAGAGGCCCCAAGGAAGATATATCTCATGCGGTTATACCTCAGGAAATATTTACTAAGTTGGTAGACTGTTCGAGTTCGCTGAATTTTTTAGAAACTATTTAAAAAGTGGGAGGTGTTTTTTTAGACATCGTCCGTAGGGTTAATAGATCTCGATGGAAGTGGGAAAGAAATAGCAACGTGCGAGTATCATCATTGATATTGGAAAGGTTTATTCATGTGTGATTGTTAGATACCTTAGTTGTATCTAAACGAATATTAAAAGTGTTTGGTGTCATTGGAAATATTTAAAACAATACCGGTTTTGGGCTTTATACATTTTTATTCCTTTCGAAAGATGTGTAGTTACAGGTAAATAAAGTTTGTGTAAGAAAATTAGTCTAAGTCGAAGGTAATCAAAATAATTTCTTTAAATATTTTTGCAGGCATTTCTGAGCAAAAAACCACAAAGTATAATCCAAGACCAATTATCCGTATTCAGTAACTACTAGCTTAGAGGGCATCTATTTGGTGAAGTGATGTTGATATAATATGACAGCCTTGATGTACTTTGACTTGCGTTAAGGCCTTTTAATTTAACTGTAAAGCTGTTAGTATAATTTTAATTTGAATAACAACTTTAATGTTGCAATTATCGAAAGAAAATACAGAAAGTCATTAAAGAAGTGGTGACGTGTTTCTTGTAGTAAACATAGCTTTAGACGTTTAAGAATAATTGAAACAAAAGATGAATATTAAGTTTATTATATATCTATATATATATATATTAATAAACTACGCACACCATGTAAGTACTGGAGTCTATTTGTGGCCGATAAATTTTCTTTTTGGGTCAAGTGCGCTATTAAGTTAATATCCTGTAAAAATATTTACTATATTAGTTATAAGTATATATACCAAACGGGCATTGTATTATATTAATAAAATAGAATCGAATGGAGTTATTACAGATTTAAAAATGTTTGTTACTAAAATATTGTGATATCTACTAAGAGGTACTTGAAGACGTATTTGACACAGTTTTAAACAGAATAACATGTCTTACAAAAAGATGAACCTCGTGAAAACATACAACAAGATCAACATTTGGCGAAGAATCATAATACTATATATACTTAATTGCAGAATTAATGTAGGGCCACTATGAAACAGTTACACTCATCAAAAGACCAATTATTTAATTTAGTCACATCACACATCAACAGCCTTTAATAGTCCACTGCTGAACATAGGCCTCTCCTTAGAAAGAAGGTTTTGGCCTATTATACCACGCTGGCCAGGCGGGTTGGTATAGGGTTTGTGTCAAGTTTTCCGTCTTTTTGCAGTGCTGGTGTCCTGCGTTGTTTTGCGCTCTTAGTCGGTTCTTACGACACCCACGGGATGAATTGGGGTAGTGACATTCCGTATTCTTAATTCGTCACGTTAGTGTTGCTTCCAAAAGGGAAGTAATATAGAATTCTTCATGTGTATCCGTATGAACAGATTGAACGGATAAAAAAACTTGTGCTTATTACTGCCGTTTTGCCAAGAGCGACAGACAGAGGAAACACTTGTCACGCTTCAGATAGTGGTACCATTTTGAGTTTAATTTACATACCTTAATTCTAGGGTTTTACACTATACTACGTACCTCAATTTTAAACATAGGTGGAGGAAAAAGCCTTTTGAAATCTCCTCTATATAAAAATTCTGTGTGCGCCCTTAACAAGTGCTCTTTAATAGTTTTACTTGGACAGAATTTACAGGGCTCGCAAACTTCTTTAGTATGACAATTTTCTTTGCAAGAACTAGATCGGCACACTTTTGCAAACACTGATATGTGTTTATGTGAGGTTATCATATCCCGTTCATCAGTATTATCTCTGAAACAGAAAACTTGTTAGATTATATTACTTAAAATTTTAGACGAACTCTCATCTTGTACCATATTCTGAGTTATCTTCAGCCAGCATATCATGAACAATTGATTAAAAAATTTAACTTTCAAAGTTAATTTAAACGAAATTGGGAAGAACCCTCAGAAAAAAATTTACAAACTTTCTTTGACGTAGGTACCTTGCAGCCCTTGCAGAGTTTCGTATTCGTTGATACCCTACAAGGTTTTATAACAATCAAATTTAAACACTCCTTTATTTCTTGCTCGACTTTTATTGCATGTAAACAAACAAGTGTTTCCCGTCCTATACAATATTAAACAGATAACGTGGATACCTTAAAATCACATTTCTTACTCCAAAATTGCACTATTGAAAAACTTAATTATTGTATAAAAATATCAAACCTCACCTTGTTGTCTTTTTTTGCAATAAAGGGGGACATCTGGGCTGACAGCACTACACTTATTAGATCTCCTATGATAAAAGCTTACTTGGCAAGTATAGAAAATAATTATATTTCCTGGGATATGTGTATCAAACTGTGCAACTATAACATATATTTGTTAGTAATTCGTACTTAATTATAAGCGAATAATGTTGTTGTACCTAGAATTCGTGAATAAATAGTTATGATTATTATGCATGTCTGTCTCATTTAAACAAATAACTTTACAAATGTAAGGTTTTAAATTTAATAAAGATATAAGTCTATACCTACTATACCCGGTTTCGCACGGGTACAATGTCACGGTACTATTATAATACAGTACTCCAACTTCATACAAGCGGACGAAACGCGAGCTATACCTACGCGCCTCGATCTCGGGGTGCGCTCGGGGCGCAGACAGTCACGGCTGTGCCGCAGTGTCGAATGGACGGTGTGTTGTTTTTTTAACAATAACCGCGCGTTTTTTTTTTCTAAAAATCAGTTAAAATGACGAGTTGGAAATATTGTGCTGTTTTTGGTTGTATGAATTCGTCAATAACGCTTCCAGACATAAGTTTTTTTTAATTACCTGGAAACTCTGAAAGGTAAGACTATAATAATTTTACTTTACTTAATAATAATTAATAAAATAATAATTTTACTTACTAGTAGGTAGGTACATAATATGTGTCTTTTTAATTGATAAGTATTTCCAAAGGTGTTTGGATTAATAAATAAAAGCGAATAGAGTAACGGAAAGTTATTGAGACGAGTGAAATAGGTAGTTATATGCGGTTCTGAATGAATAATGATACGGTAGGTACTTACTTATGCTTGTGTTAAAACTTCGGTGCATGTGTGTTTTGTTACTTTGCATAATTCAAAGTAAAGACGTGGTATTTTATTATTAATAATATTTGTTTGTTATCTGTGTGTATGAATAATACTAGAATTTTTTTTTACCGTCTGTGTGTCATTAGATAGTTTTCGAAATTTTCACAAAGTGTTTCTACTGCTACTATAACAACATATACCACTAAAAACTGGTTTTATTTTCTCGGTATTAACAACAACGCCTAGACTCACATATAATATTTAGATGTTTGAGGGTTGTGATTTTAAAACATTCGTAGTCATCTGTTCAGCTTTTTAATAATTAATTAATTGGTGACCAAAGAATTTTTGTTTTGAGTTGTTGCGAGTTGTAGGTAGGTACCTAATTTATGGAGACGTTAATAAGCTGAGATAAAAAGTTACTTACTCGTCGTTGCAACTGATCCGGCGAGATGATTTGGAAAACAAACCTAACTTTAGTTCCTACCAAGTTTGTGAAAATCATTTTAATTTGGAGGATGTATTACATTCATCAAATAGAAAACTTTTAAGGAAGAATGCCCTACCATTGTTGATGCTGCCAAGCTTAGCTAGTACTGATCCAGGAGTCTCTCTAAAAGAAGATAAACAAACCCAAACTGCTCCGTTGGTAGGAAATGAAAATGACTGAAAATGCAACAAATGAAATATTTGCTCAAATCTCAACGAGTCTCTCTAGCAACACTCCAAGAAAAAGAAAATTGAAACTTGAACTCCTCTAATGCAGAAAGAAAATAAAATAATTAAATCTACCAATCAAAAAACAACACGCATTTTTATTGAACACTTCCTATTCAATATACAAAGTATTTCATTTATTTATATAAAAAGGATATTTACAATCACAAATCTAAATAGAAACAGAAAGTAGGTAAATATAATTAAAATGCTGGAGACGGGCAGCCCTAACGCATGTTTACGTACCGCGCGGCTGTAGGCATTTATTTCTATCATGCGGCCGAGTTACACTACTGTATTATAATTGTACCGTGACAATGTGGTGTCAGTGTGGAGTTTTATGACAGGACATCTTAAAATGCAATATTTATAGGCCCGCTCAGATCCTGCCGGCCGCTGCCACCAGGGATTTTTCACTTATTTTAAACCTCAAATATCTTATATATATATATACACTGTGGCGGTATAGATATCACAAAAAATGAAATAACAGATAACACGGTTCAATATACGTCGGTTAAAATAAAAAAATAAAAAATTAGTACGAAAATACAGAAATGCAAATTTAGAACAAACTAAATACAATAAAATAATTTCCGAATTAGAACACCATTGATAACATGAGTCGGTGAACTGTACCTACACGGCAGCGTCGCAATGTCGGCGACATCAAAACGACGCCGCCGCCGCCGCCGCCGAACTTTACATTCTTATTACCTACCTACCAATCACTTCACTTGCTTTTAAAAATCTATTTATAAAGAATGCGATTTTATTCACGTGTTTATTTCGTGAATGCTCGACTAGCTTCCGACCCAGCAGTACGCGTCACTCCTTGAAAAAGTAGTTACCTTGGTTGTCTCGTAATCTTTGTACCGCCCTTACAAAAATTCGGCAGTCTGTAGGACATACACGATTGACTCCATACGTGTCCGTAAAGCAAAAGATGCGTTTTGATAGAGTTTTCCATAAATTAACATCATAGCAGGATATTCCGCCGCTGTGAAGGTCACTCACGGCATTATGGATGTTGATATCGATAACCCAATAAAATTAAAAGACTGATAATGCACTCAGTTTCACACTACACTACACACAGAACCTAATAGTGACTTTTCAAAATAAAATTAGCAGGACTCCTTACATTACGAAGTCTTGCGCACACGATAACATTAATTGTTCACACCATTGCCGTGTATTATGACGAAAGCAATAAGACTAAACAATTATTACCACAAGAAAACTTCTCTAAGCAAATATGTATCTCATAAACAACAACAATATTATTATTACGGTTATTTGTCGTGAGCGCATCTACAAGGATACGGAATAGCATAAGCTCGCCGGTGGCCAAGGGCCGACTGACTGTCCTTACTGGATGAACTAATTAAAAACGCGTGTTGCATCGTGATGACGTAATAATCAACATATTTCGTTCGATTCGGGTGTAGTAAAAGCGGCAACGTGTGATTATACCTACAGCTGATCGCCGCCTGAGGTCAATGTATTATGACTGCATGTACACATGATGTTGCAATTTACGAAACACAAAAATGAGTCCTGTGGCTAAACTACTGGATATATTTTGTTCATATTTTGCAAATCGCCTAGAAATTAAGGGCAGAATATGTGGCTTAAGTGTTTGGGATTGAAACTCTCTGTATATACTATATATATATTGACTGGCCTGTTGGTCTAGTGGTCAGTGATCCTGACTGCTGCGCCAGAGGTCGTGGGTTCGATTCCCACCCAGGACAAATAATTGTGTGATGAGCGCGGTCATTTGTTCTGTGTCTGGGTGTACTATATCTATAATATGTATGTATTTAGAAATATATGTGTATGTCTATCAGCAGTCTGGTTAGCATAGTATACAGGCTCTGCCTAGTTTGGGATCAGACGGCCGTGTGTGAAATGTGTGAAAATATTATTATTATTATATATATAATATTCATTATAATGATTATATTCATTATATTTTAATGATATGTTGTAAGGGCAATTTTAATCTACATTAAATGCACAATGTATCTAATATATTTCATTGGATAAGGGTTAATAATGTATTGTTTAAATTGCTTCACAAATAACCCATTCTATCATTATTTTTATATTCTATCTCGTAAGGTTTAGCCAGCGTTCGTAATGTAAGCGCACAAAAACATATTTTTTACGACAAATATTTAAAATTATCGGATTTTCTCAATAATAATATGTATGTATTATACATATAAACTTTCCTTTTAAAACACTCTATCTATTGGTGGGAACTGTATTAAAATCTGTTGCTTAGTTTAAAAGCTCTAAGCGTACAACACAAAAAGCGACTTTATTTCATACTTTGTAAAGATTTAAACAGTTGTGTGTCATATGCCTATAAGTCTTTTAGACATAAGGAGAGTGATGTTTTCTTATCTTATTTTGTATTTTATTTTTCAAGCCAATTCCATGCCTATGAAATATAACATATTTTCCTTTATTTTTTTTTGTTTTACCAGCTATTATTCAACTTGCAATGTTTGTATGCATGTATGTGTATGTGTGTGCGGCACAAAACTTGGAAGCTAAATCAGAACCACTTCCCGAAGTCCTATTGGACTTAAATTTGGTGTACAAGTACTTACATATGTATCTTCAGTGACAATACAATAGTATGGTACCATGGAGCTGTTCTAATGATGAAGCCAGAAGACAGCTATAGGAAATTCTTAACTAAATAACGTAAACCCATAGAGATGTAAGTATAGAGAGAACACGGGGTATAGCTACCTGTAAGAGGAAACGATACAAGCAACGAGAGAGATGCATGCCCGATAGTTCCCTCTGTCTCTGTTTAGCTAAGCTGCGATTGGCTATCGTGAAGTGTACATTGTTTTGATCGTAGAACAGGTGGGAGGTTAGAATTTCCCCAGCCAACCACAGAGCTTCACTAGAAATAGATGGAGGGAACTGTCCATTATCCATCTCTTTCGTTGCCTATATTGCAAGATTGGGACTCTTGTTCACTGTATCTTTATACCTCTACGCATAAACCCATTGAATTTTGGCTTAGTTGTTTTATTTTGGTGACAACTTTGATGCTACATGATGTCCAGGGTCTAATAATGACTATTTTTTTTAATATTTATTGCGAACTCGAAGAGTTTATTTGTTTGAATGAATTCATCTTAGATGAGTACAACCTATACCACTAGTAAAACTATTTATATAGTTTAGCTGGCTTGTTAATTGAAAAAGCTATATAGTATGACGCTGTGAAGCAAGGAAATCAAGCGATGGTCATAAATATATAGGAAACTGTGGGGTGCTAGTAGTAAATACATTCTGACATAAGTAAAACTGTTATTTTTGCAATATGGCAACGAATTGCTGAGCTAACTACTCGTAAAACTTTTACGATGCCGCGCTGTGTCCACGCACTTCCTCATTTGCTATGCAGTTCTTGCTGTCTGACTAGTAGACAGTGTCTAGACTAGGTTCTGAGAAATGCTGCAGAACTACACAAATGTATCAAAAAAGAGTAAAGTTAATCTCGTTCGTTTACTGAGTTTATCATTTTTATTGGTTAGTCAGACAGATACTTACATCATAGTAAGTGAATACCGTGTACCGGAAGACGAAGCGTGGGTGGGTGGGTATTCAAGGTCGCGGGAAGACGTTGACAGGACCGTTTTTGTGGCTAACCTTGGGGGAGGCCTATGTCCAGCATTCGACGTGTTTTTGAAGAGATGATGAAGTGAATACTTACATACGCATACATACGCAATGCAACTCAAGAGAGTAGTAACCCCCTGTCCCACCGAAATGTGGGGTCTTCGAGCCTCGGGAACCTTACTAACTCAGCAAAACGCAACAAAAGAAATGCTTAAAACCAGATTTCTGATTACCGAGGCATGGTTTTCTCGTGATTTATGGTCTTAATAATTTCTGTTACTCACCTACTGTTATCAGTCACTACCAGTTTTCGCAAAACGCCAGTCAACGAGAACAAATTGTACAGTAACTGTTCATATAACAGAAGTTCTTCTGCGGACTTAGCTGAATCAAATTCTGGTGTCCTTTTGACTTTTAGCAAATACACTTTTAAAAACTCGTCAAGAATAAATTCGAATCTCATCATTTCAAAGAAGTTGTTTTGCGAAGGATAATGTTCTCCCTGGAAACCATCATTGATGTCTCATCACCAAACAAATACGTTCCATAGACAACCGGATTCAAATTATTTTTTTAAGCTAATTTACAGTTAATATTTAAAAAAAATAGCGAGCTTTACATTTGACGTGTAACATCTGACTTTTAACCTACCATCTGAAGGCCGATTTTAGCACCGTGCGCATTCATTGGTCAAATTAAATAGCACAAATAGCATAAATAGCAGTTTCCCAGACCTCTGGTTACACATCCGTCCGTCCGTCCGTCTCTTGTCCAAACTACATTGTTTCCCGTGAAGGAAATCACATGGCAGGAAAGTTAGATGGATATACATTAAAAATATTTCTTGTTTAATATTAGAACTGGCTGTGGTGGAATAATAACTTTCACCGTCTGATCCCAAAGTAGACAGAGCTTGTTCTATGGTAACCAGACAGCTGATAAACACACTTAAATATTTCTAAATACATACATATTTTAGATAAATTACACCCAGACACAGAAGGACAGAACAAATAATATTATATTAATATTAAATATTTCTCCTGGGTGGGGATCGAACCCACCACCTCCGGATTAGCAGTAAGGGTCACTAACCACTAGACCAACAAGAAAGTTGTGCCGTAATGTTATATGCTCAACGTTTGACGATTTACTAAACGCAATTATATCAAACTATTTATATAAATAAATAGATATGTAGTCTCTATGATAAAACATTTGACCTTTGAGTATACAGGCGATTGACCCAACAGAAAGCTCATATTAATTGCTCTTCCCACGTGTAGGTAGTAAGGTACTCACGGCCGCCACTAAGTGTTGTTCTTTCATAACGAGTATTTCTGCTATTGCTTTCTGAATCACTTCCCACACGAGTGAAGGATCTTTAGCCTGTAATAGATATAAAAGAATACTTTAAACTTATGTATATTGTGTAAGTTTATGTTGAAAAAACGTTACTAGTGTAAATTAACCTTCTAGATTTGTATCTAGGAAGTTAATTTAAATCTGCTTCTAATTAACATAATAAAATGAAAGATTGTATTACATGAGTGTAATGTAGTTTGGATGACAATACTATAATTAATTAGAATAGAATAGAATAATCTTTATTGTACACCAATTCAGGATATTATACATACAATAGTATTCAAAGTTAATGACCATGTACAAATGGCGGCCTTATCGCTAAAAAGCAATCTCTTACAGGCAACCTTTGGATGGACAAATAGACTGTAAATAGGTAATTTCATGGGCAGATTTGGTGAGAAAAAAGTGAAAAGAAACTAAAAACAAAAAGAAAAATATTTATACAGCACAACAGCATTCCTTTGACAATTACAAAACAAAGTAGTGTCAATTATATACAGCAGTCAGCATCTTGGAGTTGATCTGGATGTGGTTATTATCTCTTTCTTTACATTTCAATATGGTCTATTTGTCGAACTAATATCAATAAATATAAAAGACTATTCTATCCTTCACATAATACTCCCCTGCAGCCTTTAATGCACCCACGCTCGTTTATTTCTACATCACCCTAAGGTAAACTGATAGAAAATGCTTTTAGCATTAAGTCCACCTCTGTACACAGTGTGCATAAAGTAATAAATAAATAGATAATTTTTAATAAGGATTATGTATCGTCCTACATTTTCTGAAAAACTTCAATGATATCTGAATAATTATTCAGATATAATTGAAGTTTTTAAATTACACATGGTACAATTATTTTTCAATGAAAAGGTTTTTAAATATTATAAATTTTGCCCGTTTTATTAACATTTTTCATTGATAATCGGCTCCTAATGGTCATAGCATGATGTTATATAGCCTATATCCTTCCTCGATAAAAGGACTATCCAATACTAAAATATTTCTTTTGCCCTTTGAGCCGACAGTAGAATTAGAGAGGAGGGGGGAATTGAGCTTTCAGGAACCTCATTCACTCGGTTGAAAAGCATTGGACGAAAATTTTACGAAATAACACTTGGTCGAGCCGATTGATATATGCCGAAACGTGGCTCTCTGATTGATTTAGAGTTTTATTCATACCTTTCTTAATACCATTATTGAGACAGGTCAAAATTAAACTTAAAATAAAATAATTTTTTATTTCGTTTTCAAGTTGACCTTAATAGCCATCGGGTTATTAAGGTTAATCCTGAAGTCAACAAATACTGAAGTCCCATATCGTTAGACGATCGTTTTTATCCACAATAAATTAACGTAAAAGGTGTATCGAAGATTAATTTACCTTAATAACGTTTTCCAAATATATATTCATTTATCGTAAGTGTAGTAGCATCAGTTGGGAATTGATAACTACAAACATAGATTTATCGTAAAATTTTAAAGGTTAAGAAAAAAAAATTTAAGTATTTTAAATGGCACGATTGATATATCATGAGGTCTGATATTTATACATATACCTATCTTTGATTGATGCGACCAGGGCCTCAATTCTGCTATTACGCTGAGCCAGTGTCATACCACTGACACGCTATTGAGATGCCATCGAGCAGCCATTGGCATCGGTATAAATATCGGTAGTTGAAAATATATTACGTTTTTTGAGGAAATGATTTATTTGTTTTTATTATAATAAATTATTAAAAGAAACAAATAAAATAAAATAACTTATTAAAAAAAAGAAATAAATAAATTAAAATAAATTATTAAAGAATAAAATATAAAAATTATAAAAAAGAAATAAATAAATTATTAAATAAAATAAATAAATAAATTATTAAAAAAATAAAATTATAAAAAAGAAATAAATAAATTATTAAAAAAATAAAATTATAAAAGAAAGAAATAAATTATTAAAAAAATAAAATTATAAAAGAAAGAAATAATTTATTAAAATAAAAAATTAAAATAAAAAAAATATTTAAATACATAAGTCATTTCCTTATAATTTGAAAATATATTACGTTTTTTGGGGAAATTATTTTTTATTTTTATTTTTTTACTTTAATAATTTATTTAGTTCTTTTTTTATAATTTTTATATTTTAGTCTTTAATAATTTATTTTAATTTATTTATTTCTTTTTCTTTTAATAAGTTATTTTAATTTATTTATTTCTTTTAATAATTTATTATAATAAAAACAAATAAATCATTTCCTCAAAAATAGTAATATATTTTCAACTACCGATGTTTATACCGATGCCAATGGCTACTCGATGGCATCTCAATAGCGTGTCAGTGGTATGAGACTGGCTTGGCGTAAACATAAAATAGCAGAATTGAGGCCCAGGCCGACAAACCTATCCCCTTAATGTGCCACTAGACGTCCCCACTCTCCGGCGGCCGGTGACCCCATCGACCGCTGATATATTTTTTTCTTGAATGTAGTGATAATATTTAGACAATGTAGTATTCAAATATGGGAAAAACTGAATTTTGTATTTTATTCAAAACCGACATTATTCTACGATCATGACGATTTAATTTAAGACGAACAAAGCCTGGGGCGATAGCTAGTTAAAGATATTTGTTCTTAAGTGTCCTTCAGATTGAACAAGTGATTAGAACAAGACGCACGGAGCTCTCCGTCACTCGGCGCCTCATCTTTCTATTTGAGCTAGTTATTACCCGTTCTCTTTCTGCCGCTTCTATGCTTGAGGTACATAACCTCCTTGCAAAATGGGGCGGTCGAATGACATGAAGAAGCAAGCACATGACCTCAACAAAATTCATTGTTAGGTCACGATGTGGATAGAATGTTATAATGTAGAGGCTGTTACGAATGATAGTATTTGGTAACACGTTAAGTAACTACTATGTAAGTAATCAGGATTTTGTTTTCTATTTCTGATCACGTCCTTTCCTTTTTCAAGTATACATTTCACTCTATAATAATCCAGTACTTAATATAACCTCTTTTGCCGTAAACGTGACGAAAAGTACTTATATAAAAAAAATACCTTAATAATACATCGCCTTTGTACCAATAGGCGCTTAAAGGATTCACTGAGGTTATTACCACATACACGCCAATTTCAAACTTATGTCCATCTACTAAGAAGGGTTTCTGTATAAACTCTTGAACGTAACTCTTCCCACTATAAACATCTATATCATTCAGATTTTTTAAAGTGCTGCACTGCAATTTTTTTCTTTTCCAAGAACATTAAGTTCTTATTATTTTTAGTGTATTTAATGAAGTCTTGAATATTATTTGGCAATTTGAAAGCTTTAGGCATATATTTCGATCTTGAAGTTGCCAATTTAAAGTTATTTTTTATGAACCAGGAAAATGATTCACTTGTTGATGAGGTTTTAATTTTATATTGTTGTTTTTTCATGACCGAAAAGATAATTTTGAGCCAACAGTAGGTCCCATTCTGTATTATTATTCGGTAAATATTCATATCCAACCCTCTTTAGCACCGAATGTATATGTTTTAAAAAAACATTTTCTTTCCCGCCATCTTGCATGTCTGAGAGTATGTAATATTTTGGTCGTTGTATCTCTTTCTTTTTGATTTGACGTCTATTCATTATTACAATAATAGTTTCCGATAAAAGACTAAGTGACACTCCTGTTAAATACAAAAGTAAGAAGTTCGTATTTCTATTTCGGTTCATCGTAATTTTAATTGTTTATTCAATAGGTATTTGACCTGTTATAGCACGAAATGGTAGGTAAACTTAATGTAAATTGTTTATACTTTATTTTATTTCAAGCACTTTACGAACAATAAAATTATTTGTAGAGAAACTGTTTAGTGTATGTATAAAATGATTTAATGTGATTAGATTACATTTATTAGTGTAATAAGGTAATAAATCTCACACACAAGGACCTTGTAATTAATTAAAATGTTTAAGTTCACAATTCTTACCAAACCTTTTTTCAGTGTTATTCGTGCATGAATTTACATTAACAACTTACAGAGGCAAATCAAATATTGTTCTGAGTGCTTTTTTTAGCTGACATAGGTCATATTATGTTTACTATGATTAGTAATTTAAGTTGTGATATCGTCTTAATTTGAAGTTATGTTTCTCATACATATGCTAACACAGGTATATTGCGTAATGAGTATGTTCTGAAAAATCTTTGTTGATGATTCCTACGGAAAGTTTAACTGCAGTTCTACCTATGTTATAATTGCTAATCCATAAGATAAAATCACCATCATTGTCATCTTTCACCACCTACCTGCCCTTTTTCCAATTTGATTTAAAAGCCGAAACTGGCAACGTTTTTAACACCCTTCTGAAACCTTCCAAAACATTTGGCAAGGTTTCAGACTCTATCGGACAAGGAAGAAGTAAAAAGGAAATGGATAGGGCGAGAGAGCAATAGAAAGGGATACAATAAATTTCGGATGGGGAGTTGCCTCTGAAACTACAGTAGTTCGAAGCAGCATGAGTCACGTACCCGTACATATGTCGGTCTGTTATTGGAGACGCCTCTAGGATCAGGACATCAAATCGCATAACCATAAAGCGATGTAATTTAAATGCTCTTTATTTTTCATTACTTCTTTTCATCTTTTTACAGTTATTATTTTTTGCTTTTTTAGTTTTCCTATTATTATAGACTAATTCTGGGTAACCCACTTTTAATTTTAGTAACATAATAGTGCTAATTCTGTAGTTCAAAAACTCTCTAAAACTAAACCAAAAATCACAAAAAAATTGTTAGTCCAGTCAAGTTTTATGTTTTCAGAATACGAAACGCTGTTTGAGAGGACTAAAACAATTTTTTTGTGATTTTTAGAGAGTTTTCGAACAACAGAATTAGCACTAATAGCCCGCAACATAATACTGTAATAATATTTTTTTGTAAAATATCACAAAGCAACCTGTTGTTGATATACTCTGTGTGTTGATCTATAAATTTTAAATGTATCTTGTCACATAACGGTTATTAATAATTGTTTAGCAATATTAAAAAATAAAGATCGGAACGGCTCGATGAATTTGAATTTGATAAGCTATCAAATTTTATTGTTGTCTATAATAAACAGTTATGTTGATTTTTATATAGAATCAACCCATATTGAAAGTGGCCAGTATGATAAATGTTAAATGTTTCCCATTTTAGATGGGATTCCAAATTTAAATAAATGATATAAATTCTTTCTTTTTTAATCAGCTGTTTATTTCTTATCGACCATATCGATTTTTTTTCACTATTTCGGTGACCATGATTGCGCGTTCTTACTAATACATTTTTACATATACACGCAGGATTAAAGGCACGCTACATGTACAAATGCGATGACATTGCGTTGACCGGGGAACGTTAGAACATGAATTACGGTCTTTATAAGAGTGCTCAGTTTTGTAATTGGATAGAGTTAGATCTTAGAATTGATCACTTCATTATGAAGCCCACCATAGCAATTAATGGTCGCATTTAATAAAGTGGTCGGTTTCATAAAAAGATCAGGTCAGATCGATAAATACTCAACGTTTGAAGACATAGCGATGAAGGACTTTGCATCAGATTGTCACTTGAAAGGTGCTTCAAAGTAGTCCTTAGTTGGTTGACCTGACGGCATTGTAATACAGCCTCTTAAAACCTTACACAATGGTTTGGCAACTTAAATTGATGTGATGACCTTGCCTACCTCCCAGGGCGTAAAACTTTTCAGTGACCCCAATAATTCCTTTGAGTTTGGTCTCACATTTGAAAGAGTTCTAGAGATTACTTAGTAACGAAGATGGTCTGATGATGAAGCCAGGAGATGCATAGTAGAATCCTTTATTATTTTTTCATTCTAGTGAAGTTCTTTTTCTTGTAGGGGATATTTTTGTTGTAATAAACTAACATTTATCCTACAATAAACCGCAAGTTGTGAGAGGAGACAGCAAAGCTAACAAACAGATTAAGTTATAATTATTAATTATTTAAAGTTATAATTATTAATTATTTAATGTAATAATTATTAATTATTTATAGTAATTAATAATTATTTCGGCTCGCCAGATTTGCGGCGGCGGCGGTCTTGGGGTGCGCCACGCATGTCATGTGCGCATGCCGGCTTTTCTGGCGTCTGCGCACAGGGTTGCCTGCCTTGTCACTGCCCTATTGAATCCCAATGGTAATTAGGTGAGCGTACACGTAAGCACCTGTGGTTCTATGGCGGAGGCCGATGGCCACCATGCTCTGGGTTGTCGTCGTTGCACGGGGATGTTTCCGCGACATCATGCTCTCAAGGACATAGTTCGTAGAGCCCTTATATCGGCCAACATTCCTTGTGTGCTCGAGCCACCGGGTCTGAGCAGATCCGATGGGAAGAGGCCGGACGGACTGACGCTGGTACCTTGGCAGAATGGCAAGTGCCTGATCTGGGACGCCACATGCGTCAGCACTGTTCATTCGCCGTCAGCCGCCGCGGAAGACGCGTGTGTGATGAAGAGGATAAAGTATGCGCCTTTGGAGACGATTTATTATTTTGTGCCCATAGCAGTTGAGACCTTGGGCAGTTGGGGTACAGACGCTAAGGTGTTTGCACATGAGTTATGGCGCAGGCTGAACGAAGTGACTGGTGACTCTCGCTCAGGGTCGTTCCTGGTGCAGTGGTTGGTCGTGGCCATTCAGCGTGGGAACGGAGATAGCGTTATGGGCACCTTTACGCCGGGAGCGACCAGGGATGGGTTTACGATTAATCAATAATTAATTAATTACTATAAAAATATTTAATTTAATGATACAACGTAATGAGTGTTTCTTTGATAACGTTGTTGAAGAAGAAAATTTACGTGAACAGGACTATTTCAATAAATGTTTGATAAATATTAATTATTTAATAAGTCACTTATTTTAACTGTACAGCTTAGGTTTATGTACACCACGCTATGTCCTGGTTACACTTCTCTTGATACCACATATGTTGGAGTTTGTTTACCCCCTGCAAGCCCTCCGGCACTGATTTCTCAAATTCGTTTATATCCTGAAACCGAAAACACATGTATGTATTGCTGGTAATTACTTTAAACAGATTAATTTGAACTAGGTTAGTAGACAACCGGTAGATCGCCTTACGATAATTGACCGGTATAACTTGAGCTGCCATTGCATGAATTTTTGTATCATGACAATTCAAAATATATATTGGATACATTTAGCTTTATTTTGGCTTTATCTTACTACAAATAAAGGTGCGGTTTTGCTTTAAAACACTACAAAAAAATATCTTCACGTAGTAATAAATAGATTTTAACAGTAAGAAATGACAAATAGCGGTAAAGCAAACATTATTAGAGAATGGCAAAAGTGTTAGCTTTGACACTACGATACGCATAGTTTTGTAGGTTCAGTTTCCACACAGGAATAAACATTTGTATAACCAATTTACAATAGTTGAAAATAATAAAACTTCTCAACAGCTAATCGGTTGAATAAGTGAATAGAAATAAATTTTAGGGTCCTAGATCTCAATTGTTGTATAATATTTTATTGACAGATATTGGTAAGTTCTTTTAAACTTTTTAGTTCGGCGAGTTACAAAAACGTGTTTTTTTAAACTAAAATTTATTTTTGCTTTCTTAGCCATTAATGATGATTATTTTCTCATTAAGACTATAAAAGTAACAAGTACTTAAGTCACATTCAGCACACGCCTCTTAGTACATAGTAAAAGACACTACCGTATTTTTAGGTGTGGAAAAAGCCGTTAATTATAAAGAAAGAAAATATGTAAAAAGTTTATCATTGACAGCAAAAAAGGTAGTAAATCAATATACTTTGTGTAGGTACATTTTTAGACAATAATCTTACCTTAACTTGAGACATAGGCAAAGGAACAAGTCTTCTGAAATCTCCTCTGTGCAAAAACTCAGCGTGGGCTTTTAAGAGGCTATTCTTCAATTCGTTACCAAGGCAGGGCTTACAAAGGTTACATTGTGGTAACACATTGCAGTCGTCTTTGCAAATAGTGGCGCACTGGTCCCCGAACACTGCTATGTTCTTATAGGAGGAAATCATGTCTTTAGCGGCAGACTTGTCGCTGAAATTTTGTTTTTTATTGTTAGCATTAACTGCAGGCATGTACACAAGCACATATGCACGCACGTTTTTAACGCATGTACGAAAGAACACACGTGCGTGCAATTTTTTTATTAACGTTAACTTAGATTGCGTATCTAAGTTTCATAATTGTTTGTGGACAAAATTTGCTTAAAAAAGACAAGGAAGTCTTCATGAAATAATACATTAAATCGTAATTGTTTTTTACTTTATCTTATATATATTGCATCACTTTTAAGTAGGTAAGTAAATACTAGTGGGAGTAAAAAATAAGTCCATTCATAAATAATTCGCAAGTTCATTACAAATAAACTGTTCACAAATTATTTAATTACATCTAATTATAACTTGAGTGAAACATCAAACAAATACATCTGCAAAATTCTGGAAGCAATTCGTGAACCGTTGCTGATAAGTTGTGAACCAGATTAAAAGGAATTCATTCTGTTGTAATATTATCTTCTTCGTAAGGATCTATATAAAATGAATTTCTATTTATAAAAAGAAACATTGAAATTACATTTGAAGTATTGATTTCAAGAAATTTCTGGTTACTTCACAATTCTCAGTTCCTAAAGTAACTTTTACTTTAGGAACTGAGAATTTGACTGAGAAGACCTTTATGAATATAAACAATAAATTAACTTTTAAAAAAGTGTCATCGATTTCATACGCCAACAGCATAATGAATTGTAACAAATTATATTTTTCTTGCCTTAATTTTCACCCCTAACGGTGGAATTTATTCTTCAAATTTAAATGGGACTGAACGGGAACCTTATCAAATGAAATAAAAAAATCAAATCGGTTCCTACTTGACGCACTTCCAAAGTAACAAACAAAAAAGAAACAGGCGTTTCCTAAACCAATAAGTTCCCAAGAAACAGTGATTTTAACGTAATATAACAATCAGAACATATTGTACGTCCATATATATCGTTACAAGTGATGTGCCGAATCATTAAAAATGTACATCCGCATATATAGATCCGAATATGGATCATTAATCTAGGTCCGTGAATACAGATACGTCCCGAGTTAATGCTCACATGTGTAAAACGACGGATAATATTCTAGACCAAATACTACTTACGCCATTTTCGATTTACACTGTTCTTGATTTTAATACACATTCTTCAAAACATTATTTTAATACACATAATGCGATGTTTTGGGGTTGATCTCGATAAAGATAGTCAAATAATACCCTATAACTGTTTATAATATTAGTAACTACAAAGTTCAAACATTTTATTTTAGCAAAATAAGTTTCTTGAACTTTTTAAAATATAATACCATTAAATATCGATTCGGATACAGATCCTTTTTTATCTTCAGATATCCGTAGATCCAGATATGCAGCGCATCACTAGTAACAATATACTCCTTTTTTGAACTAATGAACTCCATGTTATAGGGATTGATTGATAGAAAGGTTGATCTGCCCAATATGAGTATTTATTTTTGGAATACATTTTTAATGACCTAAAAATAACATAAATTGTAATTCTCACCTTGGATTGGCATCGTTGGATTTTATTTGCCGTGAAATGCCAGTCAATGAAAAAAGATTGTATAGCAGTGGCTCATAAATTAAAGCGTTCTTTTTAAAAGATGCTGAATTTAAATTCGGTGACATGTTGGCTTCTAATACATATACTTTTAGGTTTTCATCCACAATCAAGTCAAATCTCATCATTTCAAAGAAGTTATCTTGCGAAGGGTAGCGTTTAGTCTGAAAACATTTGGACATTGTTTATTGAGGACCTTGTAGCGGGCAGATCATACGTACGGGTTTTATTAGTCTACGCCTACAGATTTCACAAGGTAAATGTTCGGGCATCGCTTAGGTTTTAATTTGATAACCTATTTGAAAGTGTAATTTATGGTAATGTAATAAAAATATGTCTGTATTTTAGTTATTCGTTGATCTAAGTTAGATATGCCTCGTTTATTCGAATTAAAATGGCAAAAAGAATAATAATAAAAGTAGCACGAAGATATCCTTTTTTTGTTAGGTAATCATCAACAGCCTGGACAAAGGTTTCTCCTTAGAAAATAGATTTTGGCCTACTACATCAGACGGGTTGGTATAGGGTTTGTTTCAAGTTTTCCTTCTCTTTGCAGGCTGTTGTTCTGCGTAATTTGCTCCCTTAGTAGGCACTTACGACAACCACGGGATAAATAGGGGTGGTGTACTTCGTATTCTTAATTCATCACCACACGTACAACTATTTTACACTATTTCATTAAATAAATATAAAACATCAGAATAGGTACTTGACAAACACCCAACAATATTTAAGCAAGAAACATACATGACAATTAACTAATTAATAAATACACATTGTCGGTTGGTTTACTTACTGCTGATATTATATGATGCTCTTTCATTATGAGTATCTCCGCTATAGCCCTCCTTACCTCCTCCCACATAAGAGTAGGGTCTTTACCCTGTAATTAAGGCATACGAAAGTTTAGTTAGTTTACGAGGGCTCTCTTGTTCTCTCTCTTTCTCAATTTCGCTTCACTCTTTAACTCTACCAAATAACCCACAAGAGAACCGGAGAGGTGGGCGGAAGTGGCGAGGGAACATTGTCTTGCATAGAGAGTGTGGAGTGAGCTATGGGGAAACTGCACTGCACTTAATCTCTATTAAAGGGCAAGACGGCGATGAGGCGTGATCAGGTTGTAATTAGTGAAAGAAAATGCCATACAGTAACGTCGCGCTCGGTGTTACATATTTGAACCGCACACGTCGTAGCTGTCCAGCATGTTGTCTGCACCAGCCTTTAACTCTAATCTATCCAACTTCTAAATAATTTATTTAATTATTTTTATTTCTTTATATGTCTATCTGAAAAGTCTGTCAAAGTTAGAACAGACATTGAGAATGGCGGAGCGGGACCGCCATTCTCAATGTCTGTCCTAAGTGAATCTCTAGAGATTTTAAAGGTGAATTTTATTCCACATTACCACCACTCATCTCACCTTAGATCTAGCATATATGTCGAAGACGTCTTTCATACCATGACCCAAGGCTGAAAAAGGCATAGCCAGGGATGGCACTTCCCACGTTGGTAGATATTTGTCTCTAATGACATACTTGTCCAAATCATTAGGGTCGAACGGATAGTATTTTGACGGGCAGTATCTGTAAGAGAAAAATATTAGGTACTTTTAATTTTATATGTATTGACGCGTGCGCAGGGAGAAAGAGGTCGATCGTTATCAACTTTGTCTCTGTCGTTCATCTAGGGTGGATTAAGGGTGGTCATGAGAGTCACGACCCCCGCTCTGGGTAAGGTGTAGTTCGTACGATTTCAAGTTCGTAATTAAATTGGATATTGTCGTAAGACCTGACTACAAAAACTGCACCCCAATGCATCAAGTTATAACCTGGACGTGTCCCTGCTCTCACTCCACTAAATTCTTCGACTCTTGTTTCTTCTTTCAGTTATTCCTTTTATGAAATTTATTTGTGTATCTTATTGAAGGTCAGGATGGTAGGATGATTAAAAATAGTCACTGTTTAAATTTAAAAAGCAAAGAAGCTTGTATTCAAATGTTTTGAAGAGTCGACTCGTCCATAGTGCATCATTAAATTCCGTTATGTGTTTTAGTGATTACTGTGGATGTAATTAATATCAATTTTCATATATGTGATACTACAAGTTACGTATATTTGTATATTGCCTGTAAGAGATTGCCTCTGGGCGATAAGGCCGCCACTTGTACTGAACTAGTTTTAGGTAATTATGTATATTTATATCTGGTGTACAATAAAGTGATATATTATTATTATTATTAAATCTTCAGTTAAAAAACATTTATTAAAACAGGCAGGCAAAAAATACTTATATATTTGTAAATACATACATATTATAGATAAATTACACCCAGGCAGAGAACAAATCATCGTGATCATCACACAATTATTTGTTTTGGGTGGGAAACGAACCCACGACCGCCGGCTCAGCAGTCAGGGTCACTAACCACTAGACCAACAGGCCCGTCAATGTCTCTCCCCTCAGCCCGTGTAATCTTCTAAACTCTTTTTAAAAAGATTATGTTGTATTTCATTTATTTTACAATTTCTAATATTCTATTTTTAACTGCACATACCTTCGATCAACATATGCTCGAAGGCACACACATATTTCTTGTTGATGTTGATGTTGAGTTGATGGGCAGTTCTCTACCTATCAACTCAGATTTTTTTCAAATCTAAATCAGGTTATTCTCAAGCTGATTTATTAAGTTCGCTTACGCACTAAAAGTGTATAAAATTTAAATAAATAAGATAAGACAATATTCTGTGTTGAAATAAGGTTCATTCCAATACGATTTACCCGTTCTTCACTTTGGCAAAGTAGTTTTTTAAGCCTTTACAAGAGACAATACAAGCCACAATGGCCATTCACGTTAATTAAAGCTATCCTGCTATTGATTCTTTTGTGTTATTCTTAGCTCCGATTGTTCTAAAATCGGATCCGAAGTCCACATACTAGTAGATTAGAAGTAAATAATAGACATTTTGTTTAATTTAATAACTTTAAAAAAAAAAAAAAGGCCTATTAAACATACCTGAATAGTACATCGCCTGCAAACCAATAGGCTCTCAAAGGATTAACTGATGTTATCACTACGTACACGCCAATATCAAACTTATGTCCATCCACTAAGAACGGTTTCTGTATATATTCTTGAACAAAACTATTCTCATCAGACACGTTGATTTCACTCACGTTCTTTAAATGCACACCTCTATGCGTATTAAGTTTTACCAAAAATAAAGAATCTTTATTCTCTTCAGCATATTTAAAAAAATCTTCCTTACTCTTTGGTAGTTTAAAAGCCTTCGGTATATACTTAGAATTTATGGTGGCTAAATATACTTTGGTTGTCAAGTACCCTGTGCCAGGGTAGTGATTGACTCTTTGATGGGGTTTGAGCTTCAATAGAGTATCGTGTAATGAGGTAAAAGGTGAATCATGAGCCCACAGCAGGTCCCATGATGATTTATTCGATCCTTTTTCGTATCCAACTCTCTCAAGGACTGAGTGTACATGTTGCAACAATCCATTTCTGTTTTCTACATCTGCGTGTTTTGCATACGACCAATACTTTGGTCTTTCGTTACAATTTTCTTCGCTATATTTTTGATTTCTTTTAGCGATATTTATAATCTCTAATAAAATACCAAATGATACCCCCATTATACATATAAGTAGGAATATATTCGAGAAAGTATCTTTTTTTGGGAAGCTACTACTGTCGTTCTTCATCCTAATTGTATTGCTAACGGTTTCACTTGAATTTTCCTTGTCAAGTTTATTATCTGACGAATCACTTTTCTCAGCCAAAGATAATGATGTTTTTGCCTGAAATTTAACACACACACAGTAATATAAGTGGGTGTCACTGATGTAATTGTGGTGGTCACTTATTGAGTGAGTCTCAGCTCAAAATACTTGTTGGTTTTCATGGTAAATTTTCTGCATTTATAATATTTTAACCAACTTCATTGTTGAAGTTCTTAGTACAGTTTTTTTAAATTTTAGTTTCCTAAGTGGAATACTTAGGAAACTAAAATTAAAAATATAAAATAGTCAGTAGTATACTCGTAATCATATATATAAAATTCTCGTGTCACAATGTTCGTTCCCGTACTCCTCCGAAACGGCTTGACCGATTCTCATGAAATTTTGTGTGCACATCGGGTAGGTCTGAGAATCGGCCAACATCTATTTTTCATACCCCTAAATGGTAAGGGTGACCCATCCCTAATTTTTTTTTTAGGCAAAGCAACGTTTGCCGGGTCAGCTAGTAGTCATATACAATAGTAGTAATCTCATATCTCTAACACATGGCTGTCAATTTGACAGAGCCGGTGCTATGGTAACCAGACTGCTGATTTATAAATACAAACATACAATAGATAAATTACACCGAGACGCAGAACAATGATCATACTAATTACAAATATTTGTCCTGGGTGGGAATCGAATTCACAACCAAGCAGCAGCACGGCCACCGACCACAAAACCAACAGGCTAGTCAAAATAAACCATTTGGAAAATTCTGTTTCATCCTGAAGGATGGCAATTTATGCAATAAAGAATACAGTATATACAATATCTATTACAATTCATCATTACGTAGGCGCAATGAAATCTGTGTAATTTAAAAAAAAGTTAATTATTCAACCTGAAGTGAATAATTATATTATATTGTATTTTTCTTAGAATTCATGGATAATAAAGTAGTTTTTTTTAATGCTATGTATTTAAGGATTTCGTTTACTTTTTAGCACAACATATAATTTTAAGCTGTTGTTTTGAATGTAATAAAATATTTGCGATCAATTTATTGTCTTATTTGTGTAATATTTATTAATTTACATGATTAAATATGTTAAAATATCTACGCCGATACATCCAATATGTCAGTTGTTTCTTATTTCTTAAAGACTGGTTTCTTTCTTTTTTGTTTCTTGGAATTTTTGGGGTTTGCTCTCCAATGAATAGTGGTCTCATTAGCCTACCAGCCGGTACCTAGTACATTCTAGCCAATTCTAGCCAAACGGCAAGACGCCAGGCTGGACAGTCCCGGCTCATAGTCCTAGGGACATCATTTCCGAAATAATTTCTTTGCGAAATAAATAATTTGTTTGGTTCTTTGTTGGTGGGTCGTAGTGAGACACGTATCCCGCCAGATTATATAAACCTGATTTCCGACTTTTGAATGAACGAAGAATCACTAAGGAGGATTTTAAAATTATTTTTAAGCTCTTGGACACTCAGGAATTATCAAAACAAACAACTAAATTAAAAAATAAATAATTAAAATTCACTTTCACATGTATTAAAAAAACTAATCAGTAATATTAACTATTGCATTTGTTAATAATACACTTACTTTGCCTCCGTTATTATTAGAATCCATTGTTATTTTAATATTTTTTTACTTTCACGATATACACGTTTTATTTATTTTGCCGCGCAACACAACATGTTTTCGCCTGCAAATACTCACTAAGATGATCGAAGAGTAAAATGATTTCTCGTATGCACTAGAGTAAGATAGCAGGAACTTAAAAGTAGTGTGCCAAAGAGAGACAGCTTGCACTTTCTAAAACGTGCTAAACTAGTAGGGAGCCTTTTTAAGGTCACATCAACATACATGGTTTGTGTGGGCTTCACTGTGGTACTTATTTGGCAAATAATTTATTTATGGAAGAATCCATAAACGAAATTATGTCAAATGCATTATATAATTTTCTGTGATTGATTTGATTATGAATAATTAACCTGTGATTTTTATGAACTCAAGTTAGTTCAATACGAGATAAGTAACTATTTACTTATATTTTACGTCATTCCGTTTCACTTACAACCTGTATTATAACCGGAATGAAAAGATTGAAAAAAAAATAGAAAAGAATTTCGCTCTTTAGTTACAATCGGTTAAGATGCTTTGGCATTCTCTGTGTTAGTTACGCGTCTTCTCGAAGAATCAAAGAGAATGAATAAACTAAGAATCATTTATATATATATGATATATATATATATAAATGATTCTTAGTATAATTTATAATATAATATGATATATTTATGTATAATGTTAACGTTTAAAAACAAAAACATATGTACGTCATATATGTATATAGGTCTTCACCTATGAAATTGCCGTTTTGTATGCAATAAGTGAAAGTACTTATTTTTTCAAACTTTTTTATTTCTGTTTTTCGAAGTAATCACCCATGCAAACGACGCATCTTTGCCAACGCATTGGCAGTTTATTGATGCCCTTCTTGTAAAAATCAGCTGGACGGGAGGCAACAAACTCTTCCAAGGCATTTTGTACTGCCTCTCGGGAATTGAATTTTTTACCCACTAAAAAGTTGTCTAAATTTTGGCAAAAGTACGATTTATAATAATATATTATATTATTATATATTATATAATTACCTTTGGTATGATATTCCTTTACATTTATTTATCTTTTTGTCGTAATTTGTGTATTTTCGGAATACACAGGAAGACATTTTATGAATTTTGTCGAATTAATTAGTACGTGCGCTCGCTGACAGTGGTCCTAATTAGGACCCACGCGTTTTGTGCGTTGGTGGCGTATCTACCTCTCGTTTGTATATAATATCATTGCACGTAGGTACATATATATCCTATAAACTACATTGAAAATACAAAACTGAAGAGTTTGTTTGTCTTGTTAAACGCGCTAATTTCAGGAACTGCTATGACCAATTTATATGTATACCAATGAAATATGTTGCAAAACCTGGCTTTCCCTTTGTTCCAAGTGTGATTTTTTTAAGAGACGAAGACGTTGTCACGCGGTTAACTAGTTACAATTGATGAATTATAAACCTGAATAGTTATTTGGTTTGATTGTTTGTTTGTTCCCACGCGCTAATCTCTTAAGTTGGATTGGTAGGTGAATCTGTAGGGAAAAGCTAGTCTTACTCTAAACAGTTTAGCAAATAAAAAGGGTTGAAGACATGACCTTTACAAGTAAAAAATGTCTACACATTATACAGAACATGTATTGACTTAAAAGTCTCTAGACTTTTGCTAAAACATTGATAACTGACAAAATAAATATGATCTACATATAACAGTCTGGGCCTTGTTATCATAAGGAATTTCAAAGCGAATAGGGCGCGTGGCCTAGAGTTTAAGTAAGTATAAACAAATATTTCTTAATATTTAGTTTTCCCACGAGAGAGAACGTGATTATTCTTAAGATATAGATATTTTTGTACAAAAAAAGAGAGGAATATGTTTTACTTTTAACCTAACTACAATTTTCTTATGATATAGAGCAGGGATTCTCAAAGTGGTCAATTTCGACCCCTTGGGTCTATATTCTATACTCAGAATGAAATGTAAATATTATGCGGTTACTGGACACTACATAGGCGGTCCGCCTATATCCACGGCCTACGCAACTTTGGTCGAAACGGCAGGTAATTCCAAGATTCCATGAAATGGAATACATAATTATATTTCATAAAACGCTACAGTTTAAAAGTTACAAAACCAATATAACAGGTCTTACCTTTTATTGTAGGTATGCATTTACAGGTATGGATATACATAAATATTATTATACAATCATAGTTAAATAGTTCGGAATGTCACTGAACTTTATTTTCTATAGTAACTGCCAGAGGGGTGTATGTCTGTTTGCGCGGCTGCATTATCCGCCAAACTCTTGACTGTTTACGGGCGCGCCAGACAGGCTGTCGGGCGCCGGAACATCCAGATAAATGCAATGATGTAAGTAGATGACAGCTCAGTTCTGGACTTGCAATTTATTTTACATTACAATTGGGAATGAAACATTCTTCACCATTACGCTGAAAAACTAAGATTCAGTGAACTTTAGATAGACTAAAATCGTAATGATACAGCGTTTGGATACCGGCCTTTTTCGGTCAGCTCGGTGTTTATTAGGACAAACCTGGCTTTAATAGTAAATAGAAAATACAGTAAATAAATAATAATAATAAAATAAAATATAATAGGTATAATGCTTATTCCTAAATATTAAATCACATAATTATTTATAGACACCGTCATAATAGGATAAACAAAATCTAAGTCGAAGTAACTCAACTGGTGGTAGGACTGGCTTACAAGCTAAATCTTTTGAGTTAAAAATAAATTTTAGAATATATTTCAATAATTCTCATTATTAAAACAGAATACCAAATATCTACTTATATAATTGGCCCGTTCTACGGATAAATGGCATTCTTTTTTATTGTCTAAGGAGTGAAGTCGATTTCAACAGGTCTTACTTCTTTCCTTCTACCTTAATACTATTAAAAGTATTTTTGACGATCACTTCCGTATTTTATGTATGTTATATGCATAGTAAAAGTTAAGTGTTTAGTATTAAAGGAATTGTTTGGAATCATGGTATGCGGTCTATGAGAAAATAAAAAATCTCATCAGACAGCTACTTGTCATGAACATTCGCTGGTCGGCTGCGGCGCCGGGACGTCTGCGGCGTCCATCGATCGCACGCACTCGCACCGTGTCCGATTTGTGAACACCAGACTAGTACTAGGGCTGCTTCTGCTCATATTATTTTTAATATCACGAAAATAAATAGTCGCCAATTTATTAATAAAACAAAATAAGGTGAACTTCTTAGCAGCAGATTTTATAGTTATCCATAGCAGCAAAAACACGTTTTTTCCTAATATTATATAATTAGATTGTTTTACGTTGAAACATAATTAAAGCAACGTCATTTAGCCTCATACATATTCAATTCCTCTAACAGTTTAACTTTTCCTAATACTTCCCAAATGTCATTACTGCTTGTTCATCCAGGCGCACAGGAGTTACAGTGTGGGAGAGATTAGTCAAGAAAAAAGAAACATATATAGATTTAAACAGTCGTAAGCACTCTCTCAATCAAGTAGGTACTATAAGTTGTATACCGGTGTATATTCCTTGTGTATGTTATTGTAAAAGTAAGGAGAGGCATAAGCTTAATAGCAAAAATTGTCGAAAGCATATTTTTTTAAATGTGGCAAAGTATAATCCTAATCCTGTTCCAAAGAGACCTGAGTAACCTGCCCTGAATGGGCAGCTTTTTTTACTAGAGACTTATGGTATTTCGCAGATCGGTAGCAGCCCTAGACGGCTAAACAAGACACGACATCTCGGCGCCTCGCTCGTCCTATTGTGCAACGGATACATTGCGGGATCCTTTTGTATCACGTTAGAAGTCAACTTGCCAACTTTATCGGCAATGGACTTCATGTGTTTTTTCTGATACATTTTGATGTTTTAACTTTGATTAAATTTGGCTATTATCATTATAATTCAAATGTTTATTTTTTGTTTAACATTTCGTGTATGTTAAAATATTTATGCCTAACGTAAAAGAAGCATTACGAGGCATTAATTGAAACCTAAAAAAAGTTCAAAAAAGGAAATACTGAACGCCGATATGGTATTTTACTTTTAAGTCTAATCCGCTTCCTTTTAATAAACTGGTATGATACTGAGTTTTGACGTCATACTATAATTAAGATATTATATGACTATATTAGTTACTTAGCCATCCCTGAAATGACATGTTATCCTCGTCTTTGGTCGGTGTAGGTATCAGGTAGATTCCCAGTATTATCTTTAATACAATATAATTGAAATAAGTCCCTAGTCTTCATATAAATAATTTACTACATTCATCCAGAGCTGGTAATCTGTCATATAAGCCCGCCCCAGTACAAATACTCTCTCACTTAGAAGCATAGCAGTTTGTTTTGCCTAATGTATTGCTGTGTTGTGTGAGAGAAACAATAAATTGTTATATTACTGTTGTCTAACCATTTACTTTTATAATTTATATTCTTATAAAAATAGGTTAAAGTTTTGGTTTCCATGCTAAAACACTTTTTTCCTGTGTGCAAACTCTGTCGGGGGTTTGTTCTCAGACGTCAGACTCGAACCCCACAGTGTTCCGTCATCGGGCCTCAATTCTGCTATTTTAATATCGTATCAGTAGACTGTCGATGGACTGTCTTCGGAATAGTTTTGCACTTTTGCAACTTGTCACTGAATAGCCACTGATACAAATTTCATCGATTTCTTTGTAATAGATTGGTAAACGGTACATTTTAAATGTGTAAGGATGTATTTACGATGGATGTATTTAATTGTCTAAATATGACAATGTTGTTGTTGTCACCATTGATGAGCCATAATCACTTCATCGACAGTCTATTGACGCTGTGAAATTATGTTAGTGCCTAGAATGCCGATATTTTGACTGATACGAGTATCAATAGCGTGTACATGGAATGACAGTGGCTTGTACGTCAACATAAAATAGTAAAATTGAGGTCTAGGTCTTTTACTTCCCAGTAAAAGACCTAGGCCTGTCTTCGGGGAGGGATCGTG